GAGAAGGCTGAGCTGTTTTCTGTGATAAGAAAGAAAAATTATTAAAGAAAGCTCTCCTCATATTTCTTTCCTGAACTGCCATCCATTTCCAGTGGATTGGCTCCTGTCTCTTTGGTAAGGTACAGATGTGTTTTCAGCAGCTCTGGTCTTTCTCCTCCACTTTCCCTGCCACTCTGTCTCTCCAGCTGGGTGTGGGGTGACACCAGTGTCCCTGGAAGGCAGTCATTAACTGGCTGGTGTGTAGCCTGAGCAAAGCTGTATAGGCTTCTCCCAGGCAGCAGTAACTTGGCCCAGGCCAAGGCCAGGCTTGCTCCAGTCCTGACTGGCTGAGTCCCCTCAGAGGACCAGGCTGGCAGGAGCCCTCCTTTCGGCATGAGTGTGAGCAAAGAGCTTTACCACTAGTATGAACTCTTTCTTTGTGATTTGTGTAATTTATTTCACTCTTTCTGTGAGCTAAAAGGACTTTTTGTGCTTGTCTCCTCTCTCTGCCAAGTTCTTTTCTGCTTCTGGTGCAGTGTCCAAGTCTAACATGCAGCTCATGGTGGCTGCGCTTCTGTGACGTAACTCTTGCAAGTGTCTTCACTCAAGAGAACCATCAAATTTGGAGAGCTAGTCAGACTTGAGGAGCGTCATCTGAAACCCAGAGTAGTTTGTCCATCGGAGGGGGTTGAACCCATGATGTTTGTGATAGCATGTCCCTGGGTCGCTGTTAGTGTACAGTGTGGAGAAAAACCCAAATACCCTTGGTTTAGATGTGCGGCAATGAGACTGCCCTCCCATGCCCTCCTTCTCCCAAGGAGAAGAGAGGAGCCAGGCAGGAGTTGAAGGGTGATGTAGCTCTATCTGATGCAGCGGGCTGTTTGAAATAAATATGCAGAGAGTCCTTTGGAAGAGGTGAGCTGTGTTGAAGGGAGAGTTTGGACTTCATGAAAAACATTAAAAATTCAAAGCGGAGTTGTTGGCAGGTGATGGCCGTTGAAGTAGAACAGAAGAATGAGCAGAAGCCTGGCAGAGGAGTCTAGGGTATGGGATGATGAGAATTTTTTTCTTGATTTCTTGAAGGAAGTTAACAAGGCACAGGAGAAGGTGAATGTAAGAGGTGGGGTTTGGGAGACGTGTCACAGCTCTGTGGGCATGGGATGTCAGGTGTCAAGGAGAAAACACTCTGGATGAGCCTGTGGAGGACCGGAAGGGGTTGCAGAGCAGGGTCCATCTCCGTTCACACTGTTAGTCTTTACCATTGTACTGCATAGCCATGTTTGCAAGGTGGGCCTTGGTTTGGTGGGGGGCACTATGAATTAAGTTTGTCATTTTAAATGTTAAATGGGTTGAAATTCCCTGGGAATGAGCATGTGTGTTGCCCTATCAGGAGGATCTCTAGGGATGCAGGGCAGGCAGCTGTGTGCATAGGCCATGTATCTGTGATACCACACCGTTCACCAGGAGCACAAGGGTCGAAGAAACTCAAGAAAAAAATATTTAGTAAGGGACTTCGGAGGCCTGTGAGGAATTCTGGAGCGTCCAAAGTTTGGGACTTTGTGCAATTCCTGCAATGAGTGCAGGGCTCTGGCTGTCTGCTTCCTGTCCCCACAAACAAGTGCTCTTTAATTTATTCCTGAGCTGTTAGTGGCATATTGGGAACATGGAGAAGAGCTGTGTTGCTCTGTCCACCCTGAAAGAAGTATAACAAGCAACTATTTCAGGCTGGGATTTTCCAAGGGTGACTCCAAGGTGTTTTCAGCCAGAATACCCTTTTCATAACTTTCTAGTTCTGAAATTATTTCAGTTTTTAATGGGGAAAAAACTTTAAAACAGAAAAGTGAAACTTCCGTAAAATGAAAGTTTGACTTCTGGGTTTGCAGGAGGAAATAAGAATTGTTTCTCCATCTGGGTGCTCTCTCTGGGGTGTTTAGGGCAGGCCAACCTGGCTTCTGTCTTCTTTCAGTCCCCCAGATGTTAGGAATTGGTGGAGCAACCCAAATTGCAGGCACTTCAACCTGGCAGCATTCCTGCTAGCACTTGCTGTGCTAGGATTGCTCCCCAGTCCTCCTGCAAGGTTTCAAAGCATCAGACTTTAAATGACTTTAGCCAGAGAGTTTCAACACACTGCAAATATAGGCAGTGCAGTTATTACTCTTTTTTTGCCTTTTTTTTTTTTTTTAACAATTTAAAACAAACCAAACCAAACTTCCATTGGTTTCCTACAAATGTATGGGTGTTGTTTCTAGTTTGGGAGGGTTTTTTTGTTGGTTTTTTTTTTCTTTTTTTCTTTTTTTTTTTGGCAATTGTGTGACCTATGAAATACCAAAAGGGGCACAAAACGTTTATCTAGCGACAGCCTGAGGTAGCACAGGCAGCTCTTAGCAGGTTTATTTTCATTATTACAGCAATTTTAGGGCTGCATGCTGCAATTTTCACTTGCAGTGAGGTATTAAATTGAAATTACCCCAGATGTAATTGTCACACAAAATAATTCTGGACATGCTGGATTTAATGCTTTTCCAAGCTGTGGTTTTTATTACCCAAGTAAGTGCCAAAAAAACACTTGTAGTCAACAACTTAAACTGAAATCTGCCTTCTGGGGAGCCAGGATATTTCGCTGCAGTTACACTGGGGGAGGAGGGAAAAAAAAAGGGACCAACTGGAGGAAACTTAGGGAGGGTTCCTGAAAGAATAGCCCAGGGGTAAAATATTGGGCAAGGGCAGAGTCAGGACCACAAAGGAACCACGGAGGAGGGGCACTGGCAGATGCAGCAGCTCAGCCTAACACTTTTTGGGCTGGTTTCTGGAGAGGCAATTCCCAGCTGTGGTGTAGTACTGGCCACAGAGACAAACCGAGGCAGGAGGTGCTGCCAGGTCCCTGCCTGCTCCGCAGCAGCAGCGCAGTCACTGATCCCTTTGGGATGCAACGAGTCTCGTTAAACAGAAGCCAGGGGTGGGTTGCAGCACCAGTGACCAAGCTCTGGAGGTGCTCATATGAAACGTTTCAGCCTTTCCCAGATGCATGTTGTCTAGTGAGGCCAATATGGTGCACAGACATCTGGAGTTGTAGAAGCAAGTTGTTGCGCACGAGGAGCCTTCATCGGGCTGCTGGAGCGCTCAGCCAGGGTTGCAATATTCCCAGCACTCCCACTGGTGGGTGGTACAGCACGCACACGCTGCTGCTTTATTTATTAGCTCCTTAGCTGTTGTAATAACATAAGTAAAGTATTGATGACTTTATGTTTTCCACCCTCTTTCATTCTTTTCCAGAAATAGCTTCCCTTGTTTGCTCCACAGAACCCTGCTGGAAGTGGGTGGAAGGACACGCATCTGGGAACAGTGTATAAATAGCACAGGGAGAGGCAGTTGCCACAGTCTGTCTCTGGAGCTTCGCAAAGCAAGCAAGAGCTGAGCCTGAGCATGGCAAAACAGGAGCTGAACAGCCACTTCTTTCTCATCACATCAGTTTGGGAAGGCTCAGCTGGAGTTGGTTACTGGATAATGCACGGGGCTGCAGTGACCTGGGGGAGCAGCTCAGGGCATGACCCAGTGCTGTTTCATAATTCAGAAACCCTCTGTTTCCAGCATCCCTGAGATGTAATTTTGATGAATGAGGGTGTTGTCACACAGGGCAATGTTACTGAACTTTCTCCTGCATATGGAATAGCTGTGCAACTTTGGCATCCTTTGGGGATGTACCTAGAATTAGAATTGGCTTGATTGTGAGTTTCCAGCTAAAACAATGAGAAAACTGCTTTTGGTCAGGTTGAAGCAGGATTTGGAAAAGGTTTTGAGTGAAACAATGAGAGAAAGCAGCAAGTGATATAGTGTGATCTTGGAAATATTTTGTCCCACTCAAGATACCATTTTTTTCTTATCTTTGGAATTGTTTCACCTGTTGCACTCTTTTTTTTCCTTTAATTTAGTTCACTTTGTAGATAATTGGAAATGCAATTTCAAAATTAAAAGATGGGAAATCTCGTCAAAAATAATATCTCAAGCATTTTGGCTCTTCACTCGTGCAAGATAACCATGTTCAATAGCATAAACCAGCAATTTCTGGCTACTCTTACCTGCTTTCTCCTCTCCATCCCTAGCTTAGTTTACCCATCTGTTTTTACTTCGCTTTGCAGATACTATGCTCCAGAACTTGGTGGGAGCAAACTAATGGCGGTTGCTCAGTCCTTTTTTTCTGCTTGATTTGAGGATAGTAGTGGTAGCACCTGGGCAGTGACACAGCGGCAGGTGATTGGCATGTGGATGTGAAGGGACATAATGGCTGTGATGGAGAGCTCCTCAGGCTGGGTTTGGGCTCCTACTGCTGTTGTGTCATCACAGGGACTGATAGGGACCTGGGAAGAGCATCACAGATGTAAGAGGTGTATCTGGATTTTCTGAGCAAGGAATATGTTGGTATCGGTCTGTAAAAGCCACAAATGTAATCAGCTAAAGGTCAAAGTAATTACTGAGTCTGTGACATTTCCTCCTGGGAAGGAGGCAGCAGGGGCCGTGGTCACAGTTGTGGGTTTGGAAAGTTTTAAATCCCAATCTTCCCTGTAGTTCGGTTATGCCATTAGGGCAGAATGAATAAGGAAACAATCAATTTAGAAACAGGACCTGGCTTACCTTGCAACCAGCTGGTGGAAATTGCTGCCTCGGGAGGTTGGGAGTGAGATGGCTTGGAGCTGGAGTTGCAAGGATGCTCTTACCTCTGCTGGTGCCACCAGCTGGGTGGGTGTGAGAGTGCTAGCTGGGAAACATTGGTTAGAGGAAAGGGCTACCCGCTGGGCATCCCTTCTCATCCCTTCCTATCAATGACAGTTAAATTCTTTGCTGCTTTAATCCTCAGTGACTTACTTGGCATTTTCGAGATTCAGACAGAAAAGCTCTTATTTATTTATTTGTAGTAGTGGCTGGAGGACCATTCACTGATGGACTCTGCTGTCTATGTAAATTAAGTAAGCTCCCACTTTGAATTCCAGTACCTGAATGGCCTTTTCTTCTCTCTCCTTCCCCAGGTGTACAACTTTGCACTATGGCCAGGACCTCCCACCAACCAGTGTCATCATCACCTTCCACAATGAGGCCAGGTCAACCCTGCTAAGGACAATTCGGAGGTAAGAGCTCTGGTGATCTCCTAAAAAATGGTGAGTGAGCTAGAGGTTTTCACAAATAAAGGCAGAATCTGTTTGCACTCTCCGTAGCAATGGGACCAGCTGTGGTCTCAAATGATGTTCGAGAGAAATTAGAGTGAAAGTTGGTCTTAGAGAAGTAGCTTTTACAGTGGGATGCTCAGGAAAGTAAGGAGCTGTGCTCCCTTTGCAGGGTCTAGCACGGGAAACACTTGGGGGAGCGTTAGCAGATTAGACAAAGTCTGGGATAAGAGCTTTTATATCCAGCTGGGTATCAGAGCTCAGCTGTATTTTCTCTCAGTCCTCTAGGGACAGCTATCATTCTACAGATATTTTCTCTGGTAGTGCTGTTTGAGCTTCTCCAGTGACCCATCAAGTGCCAGAAAGGCTTGCTAATTGAGAAGCCCTAATGGCACACATGCAGACTAGGTTTTCAAAGACGGTTTCTGTACTCCTGCGGGTACACGGTGGAGCGCTCTGGGCATGTGGCCATTCCTTCATTTGTCGGTTTGTTCTTGGCTGTGTTTTGCTGTAGTGAATAGTCTAAAGGCTTCATTTTCACTGCAGGTTTTTCAAATCAGTGTTTAATCCCAATATGTGCCTTGAATCTGCAAGTTCTCTTGTGGGAAGAACTGGTGAGGTGTGCCCACCACACCTTCAAGGGGTCTGTCTCCAGGTGTAGGCTGGTGGGTTCCTCTGTAGCAAGCTTGGATGCACCCTGATCTGTGCCAATAGTAAGTGTATTGCAGGTGCATCTCGTGCCTACATTGTAAAGATTTGTGCCCTGCTACAAGTCTTGTCTTTTAAAACTTGACGTCCCCAGGGGCCCCTTGCTATCATTGGTACTGGTCAGACTGGGGTTGCTGGTTACAGGGAGGCTTCAGTCATTCCCTATTCACTGTCACATCCTTGCTGAACTTTTCTCTGAAAACAGCATCCTTCCTCAGGTGAGCACACTCAGGGCCACAAATGAGTTTGACAGTCCTGAAATTGAATTCCTTCTTTGCTTTATGGTTTCATGCCCAATCCCATCTCCTTCTTTCACACTTAATAAACTGTCACTGCTTTCTCTCTCTAGGATGTGTGGATTTTGGGTGATACTGACACGTGGTGCTCTGTGCCACCTCCTTGATCTTGAACCTTCTCTTTTGTCTTTACAGTGCCTTGCATAAAGCTGCCATTCTCCAAAACCAATTGTAACAGAGATGGCAGGTGCAGTCCTCTGGCCCCCACTGAGATATAGGAAGCTTTAAGTGCAGAGATGGACTTTAATCTCATTTCTCCTCATAACTCAGCACTTGACTGTCCTGCCAGGTACAATCATGAGTAATGTTGTCACATGAAAAATGTTAGATGCATAATACAGCTCTTATACCTGGATCCCCCATATCTGGCTTCATTAGAGAACTGTTCATTGCAGTGATGGCAAGGTTAGAAATATAGATGGATTGAATTTTTCCTTCTTCTAGGTTATTGTTTTCTGAAGTTTCTGATTTCCAGCCATAAAATTACTTTCTTCCTTCTTCCTCTTATTTTCTTTGCTTAACTTGATTAGTTGGCTTTACTGCCTTCCTTACCTGGCTGTGTTTGATTTCCACCACAGTTTTGCCCATGTGCGCTGCTCCTTCTTGCTTATGTGCCCTGTTTGCTTATATGCACTCCTGTTTGTATGGAGAGTTTTTTCCCAGTTCTGGGGCCCCTTCTGAGTCCCATTTCTCTAAGGCTGATCTCCAAACAATGCCAGAGCTCCACGGAGCGTTCCACTGAGCTGCACCACAGAGGCAAGCCCAGGCAGTGAGGAACTGAGACGACAGCCTTGGATCCCACATCTTCTCTGCCTCCCCCTGGGCTGGGATCCTGAGCTGACCCTCCTTTTTCTGGTCCCCATGGCTTGGAGGTGGCCTCTTGACATCAGGGTTTACTGTTTTCCTCCTGGATGCAGTGCACAGGGACTTGCTTTCATCCAACCAATGCTAGGGATACCAACCCTTAGTGGCAAGTTGTGCTGGTGACGTGGCTCCTGTTCTGCTCCTCTCTGGTGGCTACTGGGCACATATTTTCACCTCTCTGCCTCTTTTTGAACCCAGCTGAGAGCTCATTTGCCTCTTTAGCCTCTGTAGGTTAATTTGCTGTGCCTTCTGACTGCTTGGTTTTTTTCCCCTCTTGCTCAGCAAATATTTAGCTTAATTAGATCTTCCAGATAACTCCATCCCACAGTGGCTGTAACAACATGGATCATTTTCCATGGCCATTCAAAACAAACTCTGTCCTTCTGACAGTGCTTTGTGCCTTTTGGGACAGTCTGTGGCCAAGTGCTTTGAGTTTAGTGGTGAGTAAATTGGCCACTTGTTCTGCCCTATTCTCCCTAGTACAACTCCATGTTGCACTCTTGGAATAACCCAGGAATAACCCAGACTGAGAAACAGATCTGGCTGTGGCTAGTAGAAGATTTTGAATTGCAAACCTGGTTTCCTGAGTTCCAGTATACTGGATTTTCCTGCCTTATCGCAGAAACAATGTTTTCAGTTAATTGCCATAACAGGAGCAAGAAACAGGGCAAAGGGGCATTGCTTGGCTTGTCCAAAGCTGTGATGCCATAGGGCACCATCCCTGCAAAGGGGGCACTTCCTACAGGACTTCATGTAAACACAGAGGAGTGGCAGAGGGAAATGCTGGTAAAGGCACCGTCTATCAGGGGACAAAATGGCTTCTTGGAGAAGAGACTATGTTCACGATGAGCAGGAAGGATTTTGCTATTCCTGTGATTTTCCTGGGTGCTTGAGAGCTTTAATGTTTCCTGAGTGTTGAGGCTGAGCTGTGTGGCAGGCTCAGTTTGTTTCACGTGGCTCTTGGTAGGGGTGTGAGTGCTCTGACCTGTGAAGCAGAGGCAGCAACACATGGCCTCCACAGCACCCCTTACGCAAGTCACGTTGTGAGTGTTTGGGACGGTTCATTTATGAACATTTTGCGCTGTCAGAGCTATTGGGAAAAGCTAGTGGACTGTGTTGAATAATGAATTAATTTAAAAGTTTCATGATCTTTGACCATTTGCCAGCTGGAAGTAAAGCAGGGGGAAAAAAAAAAAGAGGCCAAATTAATCGAATGCCCAAATCTCTGCAAATAGTTTAGTCAGCATTTATAAATGCATGTGGTGCAACTATACTTGTGAATACGTACAACTGCCCAGGTAGTAGGGGGTGGCTGTTGTGAGAAAGGCAAATAGAAAAGGGGACAAGAGGCCAGAAAGGAGGAGATGGTGAATAGCAAAGCAGCTCTTGAGATTTTTTACTATTTTTTAAAACTGTGCAGATGGGAGAAAGTAACATTGGATTGTTTCAACTGCTCACTTTTCAAATGACCTTGAACAAGTTCCTTATCCCTCTGTGGTTCAGCCTCAAGCTCCAAGACTCAGTGCCTTAAAGATGGTGAGAGTCTCCAACAGTATGGGGATGGGACCGTGTAAGTAAACCCAACATGGGAAGGAAGCAGCAAGGGAGAAGTTAAGCAATACAGAGGCATTTATAATTAAAAAAGAAAAACAAAACAAGCAATTTCTTCTTTTCTGTCTTTCCATCCTATGCTAGCCTGCATTTAGCAAGGGAATCTTAATCCTGCTGTGTGGGTGACCTGCTGGGCAGAGAGTGAGACAGTCCCGTTTACTCTGCTGAGTGGTTTTTATTTATTTATTCTTCAAACTTGCAGCTGGAGAGCTCAGAGCAGGAATAAGGAAACTTTAATTATTTACCTCTTGCTGACAAACCAAAATACATCATTTGGCAAAAGTCCCGATGCGAGTGCTGTGAATACCACATCAAATATTTAGGTCATTAATTAGCAGAGAGAATATCGTGTCTTTTGTTTTCCAGTGCTTATAAGTAAGAGAAGTGATGTCCTGGGCAGCCAGCACCTCACACCTTCCTCTCATGCCACTAACTTGTCTACATCCAGACACATCTGAGACAGGGAGGTGACAAAGCCACACACCTCCTTGCTTTGGCAGCGTCGGCACCATATAGAATCTGTGCCATAACTGAAATGAGCCTGATTAGAGAAGCAAAAACAAGCCAGGTGTTGCACAGACACTGTATAATTAGCACTTTGTGCTGACTGTTTTTTCATTTCTTTTTTTTTTTTTTCCTGCTTTTTCCTTAAACCCTGGGCTTTTTTTTTTTCTTAATTTGCTAATCATCTCTTGTGGTGACTGAGTACACAGCCCTCCATGCGCTTTTACCTTTTGATGTTAACATAAGAGAACCCTTGAATTTCAAAGAGCTTGGTGGGTATTTGAAAGAATAAAATGCAAAAGCCGCAGTGTAATCAAAGCTCATTATGGTTATTCTTGGTGTGATGTCTCTCTTCCCACATAATTAGCCATTTGGGGTTGTTGAAGCAGCTCATTTTGGCGGGCATTTTCTCTCCGCACTCGTGGTCTGATTTTGATAATTGTGACCCTTAGCCCTTTGTACACTTTATTATACTCCCAGAGGTGGGTTTTTTTCCCCCAACAAGTCCCAATATGTTGCCATGGAGAAAATTAATGGGTTCATGAGTTCCCGAGGATCAATGTCCACAGCCATCTCTCTAAAGCAAGTGGTATTCTGGGTGATGACTAAAAATATACTGACTTTTGGTCAGAAGGTCTAAACTCCTCCACGTGAACATTTTCCATGTCTTATATGTCAGGGTGACTTTTACACTGGTATTTATTTGGAGGTGAAATTGCTAGATCCAATATTTACCTCCAGGTAGGTTGAAAGGGATCCCAAATTGTCAAGGATGATGGAAGAAGGACCTTAACGATGAAAATTTAGGGTGAAATTCTCCATGGCTACGTCTGCATAAGATCTGCTAAATCCATTGAAACAAAGAAAATTTCAGCATTGACTTTACAAGATAATTCAGCAATGAATTTGGTCTTAATGTATTGAGCAAATGTAAGCACTTTCTGGACTAGAGGCATGAGTTTTCATTTAAATGGTAACAGGACTTGTGGCAATTTAAGGGAGAAAATGTTGTGATCTCTGTCTCAACAGAATATAAAAGCTGTTTCATTTGTTAAAATGTGCCCATCAATGCAGTATATACCTACCTATGTTTGATTTCAGGGAAAGAAATCTATAAATAGCAGAGTAACTTCAAAGCACTACAATATTGTCTTCTGATTTTACCCATATAAAAGGGGAAAAAAAGCCATGCACAGACATAAAGAAAAGAAAGTATTAAAAAAAATCAAAGCTAAGCAGAGGCAAAAGTAATAGAAAAACCGGCTTTGAATGTTTAGAAGTGCTTTTGTAGTCTGTCTGAAAAAAAAATCCCCGTAACGTTGAAAATGTGCAGGATTTGGTGCCTCTGTTTCCCATCCTTCCCAAGGAGTACTGCAGTAGGGGTGTTTATAGTCTTCTGTGTTTCCAACATCGTGTGCATTATCATGTGATTAATAGAGCACAGGCAGAAAATGTGTTGAAGATGTGGATGTGGCTCTGCTGGAAAGCCAGCATGCTTGCTCTTGGCTGAGTAGGGAAGTGGGCTATGGTTGTGGTGTTGCAGCCTTTGGATCTCTTTGTGCCTGCATCAAGGGGCCTTTAGCTCAGCAGCAGTTTTTGGGCTTGCTGGGGTCTGTGCACAGACTTGTAAGGGCAATAATGAGCTCAAAGAGTGCTGAAATCAGTGAACATCAGGTCCCTTAGAGCCAGCCTTTGGACCACCCTCACCAGGGTGAGGGTGAGTTGTTCACTGGAGTTTTGGAAAAGTGTCATGTGGTAAGGGAGGCCCACAAGAGATTTGATGGGAGAGGGCTGTGATGGTACAGGATGAGGGGATGCTGTGTCACCCACAGTGGTGTCTGTCATTAACCCCATGGAAGGATGAGGGTTTATGGAACCAGAGCAGTCCTTGGAGACGTCCTTCCCTTGTAGGTCAGCATGCTGGCTAAATTTCCCCTCCCCTCTAGTCAATGCTCTGCATCCCAGAGATGGCCATTGCTGGCATTCAGGGGACATGTTCCATGATCTATGGTGTGGCAAGTCCAGGCACAGAGTTGGCAGCGAGTTCCTTAAGCTGGGAACAGAAGGAGCAGCAGAGCAGAAGCGGGGCTACACATCTTCCCGACCCAGCGCCATGGGAATTTTCATGCTGGATTTTCTTCCGTAAGAGCTGCCTCGGAGGGAATTCCTCCAAAGGCATTGAGTACCACTTAGAGCCCAGGTCTGAGTCTACACAGCCAAGTGCCACGGTTTTGGTTGAGTTATTCTGGCTGGTACCAGCAAAAGCAAGAATCAGCCCCTTCGTATCCTCCTTCCCCTAGAGTGAAGCCCTGCATTGCACTTCTGGCTGCTGAATCCGTAGGGGAGACTAGGCAGAGGCGGGATTTGAATGTTCAAGTTGTCCGCTGCCTCCTCCCCTCCCGCTCTCCATGGGTTATTTATTTATTTTGCTAGCTTTTTTACAAGCCTGCTTCTTTCCTGCAGGTTTCTCTGAGTTAGGTTTCCAGGCAATCAGCGCTTGTTAAATATTCCACTGAGCGTGATATTGCTCTCCTGTCTCTCTCTACTGACGCTCGGCTGCGGTAATTTGCTGAACTCAGCTCTCGCGTGTGGGGATTTTTAAAAAATAACAAACCTATTAATAATAATAATTAAAAAACACTTGACAGGTGGAAACAGCACATCTAAATTGTTCTGTGTGCCCCAGCGGGAGGAGGGGCGCTCAGGCACTTTTTCCTAGTAACAGGCTCCAGATGTTGGTGAGGCGGTGTTGTCTAACTCTGCTTGGTACAAGCCACGGTGTTGTCAGGGTGGCCACAGCTACCATTGTGTGGGGACGGCACCTTTTATTCCCTTCCCACTCCGACATTAACATGCAAGGCATCTGAAGTGGGGGAAATAATGGTTTTTGCTAAGATCCTGAAACTGGAAGAGTTTGTGTTTCCAGGGGAAGTCATTCTTGGAAGTGATTTTTGAGGACCTCCACAAGGGAGGTGCCAGGCTTACCCACTCCAGTCTGATATGAAACCCCCTTTTTTCAGGATTTCTGCTGAGGGAAAAAAAACCCAAAACCAACATGCAGGGAGCATCCGTTATATGTGGAAGAAATTCTTTACTGGGAGGGTGGTGAGGCACAGAGAACTGGTAGATGTCCATTTACTGGACATGTTCAAGACCAGATTGGATGGGGCATCGAGTACTCTGGTCTAGTGGAAGGCATCCCTTCCCATGACAGTGAGGTTGTAACTAGATGATCTTTAAGGTCTCTTCCAAACCAAATCATTCTGTGATTCTGTGATTCTGTTTCAAGCATCTACCTTGGGATATCCTATATGCCTTCCAAAAAAATCCAGCTCAGTTCTCTGGAGGGTTGTATTTCCAGCACCTGGAGTGGGGAGTGGGGGATGTACACCAGTGCAGGCAGCAGACACCTGGCAAGGGCCACCCCCTGGGTGGAGTGGTCTTGTGAGTTCTCATCAAGAAGGTTTCATCAGAGAAATGCAGCTCTTTGGTGAATGTCCTCAGATATCCAGGGGTGAGGCTGTGAAACCGTTCTGCATTTCTGCCAGTGTGGCTCCCAAGCACCCATGTCCCCTGGGGATCCTGTCCTTTGTAGCCCTTGTGTCTGGGGTCTGAGCCAGGGATGTGGCTTTTCCAGACTTCCAGGCTTTTTTTTTTTTTCTGGAGTTTTGAGAGCCTGAGAGACTGGGAAAACCTGTTAATGAGGATCTGCAGGGATCAGAGGATTTAAGGTTGTTAGCTAGTCGGGTGACTGCCCTCTAATGCCAGTGGGAATTTTGAAGGTCTGAAATTTGGGGGGATTTTAAATCCTGTGTGAAAAAGGAACCACACTCAGGATGAAGACAAAGAAGTTTAAATGCTGGAAAAGCCTATACAACCCAACTGGCATTATCAAAGCCCAAGCCAAGCACTTAGGAGACTTTTGGGATGTCCTGGGGTTTCTGCTTCAAGAAGTCAGCCTTGACCCTTTGCTGGGGCAGGATTTTAAGCTTGTATAATTCTGCCAAACTCTGCACTGTGAGAGAAAGAGAAAGAACAGGTCTAGGCTTTTTAATAATGATAATAATAATAATAAAAAAAAACCCCTTGGTGGCATAATTAAGGGAAGATTGTAGCTTTCAGCCGTGTTTCACAGTGTCTGTCCACATGGAGGGAGCTGTGAACCACATCCTCCAGCCTCTCTCTTTCATTAACTAGATGTGCTCCAACCCTGCTCTTATCCTCTCGGCAGCCTCTGAAACACAGTCAGCTCATGGATAAAAACAGGAGTTGTCCTGCTGCAGCTGTGAGCTGTGTAAAGATGGGTTTGAGCTGGGTAATTTTCTCTGTGTTGGCCCTGCTGTTGCTGGACACCGTATCATTAGCCCCAGAGGAGGCGCTGGGGTGACAGCAGCTTTTCCTAAGCCCAGTTAGGAATCCCAGTGCAATGTGCATGTTGCTAAAAAGCCAGTTTTTCCTGGCTTTACCTGGTGCTCTGCTTTTGCTCACAAGGGTGATAAAGGTGAATCTCAGGTATTTCCCAGGAATACTGAGCGCTTGGCTCTTAGGTCAGGCTACAGGGAGTTGTTATCCAGGCACTGTTGGGGGGGGGAGTGGTTTCTGGGTCTTATCTAATATATCCTTTCCGGAAATCCAAGCCTGGTCTTCTGTGCTTTGGCAGAGATCAGTTCCTAGGTTTTTCCACTCCGTTTGCTGGGTTGTTAACTTGGTCAAGCACTGTCATGGATTTTCTCTCTTCATTCTTTAGCGTGCTGAACCGCACCCCAGTGCACCTCGTCCATGAAATCATACTAGTGGATGACTACAGTGATGATCGTAAGTGACCCTTTCTGTGTTAAAAGCAAGAGGCCAAACTGAAAGAGCCTGTGAGAGACTGGGATGCACGCAGAGACGGGAAGGAGTTTGCTGAAGTGGAAGGAAATTCAAAGCTGTGTAGCTGTGGAGAGCAAACCCTGCTGTGCTGGGTTTGCATCGCCACGTAGAATTCAAGTTCCAAATGATCAAATCTCTTTTCATGAAAATAATACAAGAAAAGCACATGGCAAATTGTTTTTATGCCCAATAGGCATGAATCCAGTCCTTACACGTTGTATCCTACCACAGCTGTGGTATGTCTGATCTGGCTTGCAGCTACAACCAGGAGCAGTTCTGGGTTGATACCACTGGAATTGCAGGGAATAATGACGGTCTGACCCTTTGGACCTATGTATGTGTTCTGTATACACTTATGTAGGTGGTCAGCAACTCTTGATTTTTTTTCACGCATATAATGAGGATTCCCTGTGTGGGTTTCCCATTTCTGAGAGGCACCATAAATAGCATTGTGCACCACACATCCTGCCCACATCCTCCTGCTGTTCTCTCAGTTAATAGCATGACTCAAGTTAAATCGATAGGTCTGATCTCCAGTAGAAGGTAGCGGAAGCCCCAGGGACTCCCAGGGAACCACTCCAGCTAAAGACCTTGCCCAGTGCGATGTGATGCACAAGTTGAAGATCCAGGTGCTGAGAGTAAATGCTCAAAAATACTGTCTCAGGCATAAAAAGGATGATAAACCATCTGAGTGGTCTGTGACACTTACGTTTGAAGGAGCTGCAAAATGTAGCCGTAAACTAGGAAACCTGAAAACAAAACTAGACGGGTTTTTGAAAACATGAATCTAGGCTTTGCTCTTGGATGTTATAAATAGGCACTGCCTTGGAGAGCATTATAGGGACAGATTTCACACAAGACCCACTTCCTGTCATTGACACCTCCCTGGGAAGTTGCTGAAGCTAGGGGAAGGAGTTGCTGTGATTACGGTGAGCTTTGGAGTAGCTCCAGCACTCGGAGTGGGCAGACTAGACAAGTTTGGGAACCAGCAGGACAGCTCTGGTGGGGAAAAGGAGCAAGTGCAAGGACTTGAGCTGCTCTGGAGTACAGCAGAGCAGGATTTTTGAAGGATGGAGGAAGTAGATGCCAGGTATTTGGCTAAATAAACAAAGTACTTGCCTTCCTGAAAGGAAACAAGTTTGTAGAAATGGAGCTCCCTTGTCACAGCATGCCAGCTGCCATGAGCCACGGAGTACAAGCAGGACTGGGTTTAAACTCATCCCAGGGCACCAGAGGGGAGCATGTTTCCTGCGTAACTTAAAGCAGACCCTCATCTACTCAGCACTTCTCACCTCTCTGACATCTTCTTTCCTGTGATAGTCTGAGCCTGCTGGCATCTGTTCTGCATGCATTTACATAAAATGCATGTATTTGCATAATACACTATACACACATGGTCAGTTTTTTCCCTGCAACCCACCTCAAACAATTAGTGCTTTTATCTCATGCCCAGTTGTGTCTCATTTCTCACCTCTCTCTGCCTGCTGGCCTCGTTGTTCACTGGGATGCAGCTTTTCTGCATGTGAATTCACAGCAGAATTCCGTTGTGGGTCTGTAGCCAAGCCCTGCCACTTCTGCTCCCCTGTCCCAGCTCTGTCCCCTAATTATTCAGGGTATGGTACAGTGATGTCTCTTCACCAGCAAAGATTGCCGGAGGAGATGAAAGTGCTCAGAGGTGGGTGCAGGGGCTGGGCAGAGGGCATGGGGCATGTGTGTGTGTGTTTATAGCGCCAACAAAAAGGAGGCAGAGCCGTGAGAGGCGTGAAGGGGTTGTGGAAATTCACAGCATGAGGGTGCAGAGATAGAGGGGGCTGTGATGGGTGCACCTGCCTGCAGACTCAGCTCTGGCCCTGCTCTGACATCCTCCACATTGCTGGGAGAAATCCAGGTGAAGATGGATACTGGTGCTGCAGGTAGTGACTGTGTGTGGGATTGCAGGACCTCCCTAGCTCAGGTGTTGTCAGTCCTTTCTGCCTCATAGAGCTGCTGCCCAGGGCATGAGGAGCCCCCAGCTGTTCCACAGGGCTCTCTTTGACTGTCCCTTTCTCCTCACTGAAGCCTCTAGGCCACCACAGGAAGCTCCTGCCCTGCCAACCAGCCGCACATCAGAGAGCTTGTGCGTTGCTTTGCAGCTACCAAAAATAGTAATTTGCATTACTGTGCAAAAAATCAGATTCTGACCCCAACCACAACTCTTCTGTGCTGATTTTAGAGCATAACTCAGCTACTTTCAGTGTCAGTCTGCTGAATTTACACTAGTTTCATGAAAACTGCTGCTCTGCCAGTCGGGATTTGTGCTGCATGAGCTGAGGGGTAAGAGTGTTGTGACCCAGTACTGCTATCACCCTAACAAGCCATCAGATAGTCCAGGACGGGGTACTCCCTGCTCACAGTCTCCCCTAGGACTCCCCATTTCTACTGCCAGAGCCACCATGAGGGCTGAGGGTGACATGTCCTCCCTTTTGTGTTTCCCAAGCTGATGACTGCCGCTTGTTGGGACAGCTCCCCAAGGTGAAGTGCTTGCGGAATGGACGGCGAGAAGGTAAGAGCTACCTGCCCACAACCCAGGTGGAATACCCAGATTTCAGGAGGTGTGAGAACGATGGAGTCAGGGGAGACCTCCATGGAGTGGCCAACAGGGGAGGTCAGCGGCTCCTGGGGACAGGAGGACCATGATAAAAGGGGATGTGATAAAGAGCTGGGATTTGAAATGGATCTTCCCTCTCTTGCTGAAAAAGATGGGACTATTAAGATATCCAGTGAGGCTCAGCTGTAGCTTATTAGCCAGAAAATTAGAACAGGCAAAACAAAGCCCCGGGTCTTATTTGTAAAGATGTTTGCTCTAATAAAAGAGAGGAGATCTGCTCCTGCTGCTTCTGTGGGATTTTTTTTTTTAATAATTAATTATATTTGAAAGATTAAGAAAGGCTATGTGGAGGATGAATGTACGTCCTACTGGGCTGCTGCTGACAACCTTTTGAGACATTTTCCAGCTCCCCATAGCCTGTGTGTGTGCTTTCAAATTCTGCTTTGTGGTATTAGGAGAACAAAACCCTAAGTTTTTTCATGCTGCAAATCAAAGGTGTGAGTCCAGGTGGGTGCTGGGTTGAGGAGACTGAGGAGTGGAGATTCATCATGGTTTCTTTCTGCAGAGGGTTTCAGCTCTGCAGGTCTGGTGACAGGGTGGCATCAAATCTCATGGGTGTAAGAGACATACCTGCTTTGGCAGGAGAATAAGGGAGGTCTCCATAGACCCTCACATCCTTCTCATCTTTCTGTCCTGTGTGATGGAGGTACATATGTGCTTATCTCCAGCGTGTAGACCCACAGGTATTGGTGCTCTATAAATCAGTCAGAATGTGGGAAGCCAGCCTTACCTTGCTTAATAGATTGCTTACCCAGGGATTACATTGCTTAATACATCACTTAAGTTGTGTCCCTCAGGGCCTGCTGGGATCTGGGGAGGTTTGGGGTTGGTGCAGAACACATAGCTACCCACGAGATTTTAGGAGTTGCAGAGAGAGATACAGTGACAGCCTGTATTGTAGAAGGTGACCTTGGCAAATGCTGGATTGTTCCAGGCTTTGTTCTCCTGTCCCTCTCTCTGCTGCTCAGAGGCTGTTCCTTGACCCTGTTCCTCTAGGGAATTTTAATATGAAAGTCGGTGACCTTCTACATGGACCTGATGTGTGACTGCTCCCTGAAACCCTTCTATCTCTCTTTATCTGTCCCTATGGCCCCTCATATTGCCACTGTTTCTCCTTCATAAAGAAGCTCTGCTCTTCTTGAGTCACCCGCATCCCCTCTTGTTTACCAACAAACCATCTCCTTTCTTGTGCTGCAGTTCACTTGAGCATCAACTGCATGCAGGAGGAATGTTGAAAAGCTTTTTAACTCCTGCATAAATAGGAACAGAGCATCTTTAAGAGCAATGATTTTGCTGAAGAGTGTAGTGTGAAATCCATGTGTGCAGCTGCTTTTCATGACCTCCCTTTTTTTTTCCATTTTTCTCTGTCACAAACACATGCAGCAATCCACTTCCATCTCCAAAGGATTCTAAATTCACCATCAGGGCCCTGATGAGCCAAGTGGGCTCTTAGCACCTTGAAAACCAACTCTCTTTCCTTGGTAGAAAGTGTGTTCCCATTGAGCTGCAGATCAGCAAGTTGCCTCAGGGCAGGAGAGAGATCTGGGGGTCACTGGGACACGGAAAGAGGCACAGCAGGGGAAAGTTAACAGTCTAAGAAAAGCTTAATTCTGGCAGGAGGTGATCTCACCCTCAACTCCCCTGGTGCATTCCCCACTGCCTTATGTCTGTGTTAGATTTATTACCTGAAGGGGGTCATGAAAGCATTTGAGTCATGTTTTGCCCCAGAATGTGACAGCAGAATTAATTGTGCAAATTGAGGATTGGCATAAATGGTATAAATCGTATATCTTGGTGGAACCATTTATTTGCTTTGGGAAACTTAGGAAATGGTTAGCATACCCTTGCAGCATCAGGAGGGAGGCAATGAACCTGGGCTATGTTTTATCTGAATGAGGTTCAGGCAGGTCAAAACCCAGGGAATGCATGAGTGCAAGAGACCATGCTGGAGGAACCTGGGGGTGTTACCCAGCCATCTGGACAGCAGCTGACGTGGTGTGTCCCTGAATAGGTCTGATCCGGTCCCGAATCCGAGGGGCAGATGTGGCAAAAGCAGGTGTCCTGACCTTTCTGGACAGTCACTGTGAGGTGAATAAGGACTGGCTGCTCCCTCTGCTGCAGAGGATCAAAGAGGTGAGTGCTCCTGAGAGACCAGGATCACCCTCAGGGGATGTATCAGTGATGTCCACCTCCTCTTCCTTCTCGATGGGCATGACCATCCAACCATAACCAACTGCATCCAAGGCATCTGAATAAGGAAGTGATGAACTTTTGGGGTACAAAGTGGCCTATTCTGGTCTTCCTCCACCCAACAGCCACATGGCGTGTCTCTGTGACTGGGGGAGCACGTGAGTGGGTGGGACAAGGTGTCTCCCAGGGCAGTGGGACTCTTAACTGGCAAGCACAGGTTGAGTGGTGAAAGGGGAATACGTGGGCAGTGCTCCAGCAGAGTTTTTAATTAGGCTCATGTAAAATGCTCAGTGATGATGATTTAAGGGAGTGACGGCTCCTTGAATAGGGGCCGAATTTAATTTCATGCAAATTAAGCTCTAATAAATTGATTTAATAGGATTTAAATTCTGCTGATTTCGGAGCAGACAATGACATTCGCCTTTTGCCGGCGGCGACTCTCTCGCCAGACGTGCACACGGAGGCTCCCGGCGCCTTGGCACTTGAGTTGGGGGAGCTCTGTGCTGGTGACCTGCTGACACCAGGGTGAAGGGGATGAAGCCTTCAGCTTCAGCACAGATGCATGATCCTTTCCCTTCTCTGTGCCTTGTTCCTTCACCTCGTTACACCTCTGGCTCCTCATTGCTAGTGTTAATTACTCAGTAATTTTAAAATTACTGAACTATGTTGACATAAGGGCATCTGAGGAGCAAGGGAAAGCTGAGGTGGTGGGTCATGGAGAAACCTGCCTAGCTGGTGTTCACGGTACCCCTCATCCAAGGCATCCTGCTTTTCACACCTCCATATGTGAAAGCTGTTCTGGCTGGGCCAGAACACCTCTGTGCTGTTCCGACCTCTGTGCACCAGTGATGGGACAGGGGAAGGGAGACAGAGCACCAGGTCAGGTCCCTCTGCAGTGCTGCTGGCACTCATAGTGCAGCCAGTGCTGGAGAGGTCCCAACCTTGGTGTGCAGAGTGGGCAACAGTACTACTGATAAATGTAATTAAAATGGTCTTTTCATATTATCAATTGCAGCTCTGGTGCCATGTGCAGCATCACCATAGGAGTTTCACTGCCTCCTGGTCTGAATACAGCATCAAATGCACACATCACCTCTGTGGACTTTTTTTATTTGCTCTTCTGAAGTGAATCTTTCTCTAGCTGGAAGGAAGGCAGTCTATAAGGTTGCACTGCTGCTTGTGCTGCCCTCGCTTTGTCCAGTATCTTGCAGCCCCAGGCAGCAAGGGAGACATACTACAGAGTGTTGAGGGACTGACAAAACAAGGGCAGTCCCACTTGGTTGCTTTTTAACTGCTCACGGGAGCTGCAGGATAAGGGCAGAGTCCTTGTTTTCCTTCTTCCCAGGACCACCGTACCCATCCTTTCCATCAGGATTAAAATATTGATCAGTGAAGTGTATGAAATGTTACTGCTGCCACCTTCAGGCTGTGCTCTAGAGATGGGTTCCCTGTCCAACCACTCCGTGAGGATCAGCCACCTAGGAAGAGCATTTTCTCACTCTGTTACTCCTAGGAACAGTTTGCTTTGAGCTAATGTGATTTAAGTTCCAAGCAAATGGGTACTGAGTGCCTCAAAGCAAACCTGGACACTTTTTTCACCACCAGCCACCCACCTCTGCACATCACTTCCCTTGTTTTCTGAGCCAAAGCAGCTATTCCTGCAGCTTTCATGGTAGGAAACACCAGAGCCCATGTGTGGCACCATGCACCCCTGTGAAAGTGCCCCTCAAGCCTTACATCAAGCTTTCCCAGCAGCTGATGGTATCCCCCCCAGGCTGACACTCACTTGTGGGCGTGGGCAGCACATACCCAGGATATGAATTTGAAAACAAGCAGGAAAAGCAAGTGATGGAGTGTGGGGGAATGAGGGGGAGTCTGAGGAGTGTCAGACCTGTGCCTGGGATGGTGTGTGTCCCAGGGAGTGGCAATGATGGTCGGTGTCTTGCACCAGTGTGTTTGCAAATGCATGACTGAGAGTGTGTGGGCGTGGGCTCTTGTTTTTACTTATGGAACAAATATCTCTAAAGCCATTAATGGTGCATTTCAACTGAATAACTTTTCTAAAAATGTAATTATGCAGCCTGAGGTATTTTTACAGTATGACTCAACAAGCTCGCCCCAAAACTGTATTTACAAATGGCTCTGGGATGAACCAGTGAATGGCGACCCCTTACTTACAGCTCAAATACCTCTCCGGTCTGGTGCTCTCTTGGGAAGTAGGATGCACACGAGGGGCAGCTTGGCCCTCTTACCTTGGCTAATCCTGCTGTGGGGCCAGTGGAGCAACTGTGGCCCTTTTTGTTGACCATTACAAGGTCATGATGTAGAGGCTGGGAGACAAGCTGCAGTCAAGGTCCTTCTCCAAGGCTGAAATATATCTGTTATCTTCAGGACCGTTTTCAGTTTTTTACTGTTCATTTAGATCCATATGTTGGTATGTTTGAGAAGTGTATTGGAGAAATGAATTCTCAGGTTTGTGAAAGAGGATTGAAGATTTGGGTGTTGTTAATAATAACATGCCCTGCCATGAGTGAGTATCAAAATAACAGAGAGATGAAGCTGCCTATAATAAGATTGGTGCTCAGCCCAAAATAAATCATAGCAACAGCACTGTGCTCTTGAGCATGCCGTGCTTTTCTTTTGACGGTCAGACAGACCTTGATGATAGCTGAGTAAATATAAATGTTCCGAGGACATGGCAGGGAAAGTGAGGCAGGGAGAAGGCAGCACTGCTCAAGGGTAACGTTTTGCAGTAATGCACTCAGCCCAGATGTGAAGGGGATTTTCTTACAAGAAGTTGTGCTGTGCAATGAGTAGCAGTGAAATTGAAGTTGGGGATGAGTGTCAGCTATCTAGAAGTGCTCACCAATAAGATACTTGAGGGACAAGTTTTAAATGAGTGTATACAATCCTTTCCATGCCGTGTTCAGCACACAAAGCAGATGCTTTGCTTAAAACCTTTCCCCTACCCTCAAGAAACTGCAGGATGCTTGGCTGTACTGGGCTGTGGCAGCTTGGGGGGCACTGTGCAGCAGCCACGATGGGTTTGATGGGTTTGAAAGGCTCATCGTGCTTGGATGTGACTTGAGTTTCCCCATGCAATATATAGATAGAGCAGACCTTGCCCTTTCAGTGATGGTAAGACCCCTGACTTGACCTTGTTATGGAAATACCAAGTATTTGTCATGCTCAATTGGAAAATCGGCTCTAGTCCAGCTCCCAGCTCATGGCCTTTGGTTGCTTCTTCCTACAGCTGCATTTGAATACTCCTTTGTCAGGACTGATTTCTAAAACAAAGTCTTTTCCCAGCGAGAGAGCAAGCCCGTGTGTGCTCAGATGCTTTCCTTTGTATGGCTGTGAAAAACAATTTGATCTAGTGAGGGTAAAACCTTGAAGTTTGAGCTATAATTGGAGTTTGGGATTTTCGAAAAGAAAAGGGGAGATAAGAGACCAGTCAAAGCTGTCAGAGTCTCTTCCTCCTGTAGATATTTTTGTTCATAACTGTTTGTATAATCTCTTTGCCCATAACAAGATGTTAATTAAATCACCACCAACTATTTTAAATAAATCAAGTCTTCTTTTTTTAACCCTTTCACACCTTTGGCAAAACTCTTAACTGTGCTGCCATAGTTTGCGCATTATAAAAAATACCTGTATTTGAGCTATGTGACTGTTTTTCCTCTGTCATTTCAATTGCCTATTTGTCACTTGATTTCTGAAATCTGATTAAAAGTGAGGTGAAAGGGGAATACATTGGTGAATTTGCAAAAGACAGAAGGAGCTTTGCATCCAGCCCTCCAGCCTGTGGAGGGCAAGACTGTGGGTGAAACCCAAGTTGGTTGGAGCAGCCCAGCAGCACACAGCCCTCTTTCCCAGGACAGACAGTGCCTGCCTTTCCAGCCTCTCTTGCTGACGTGCCCCTGGCTCCCAGCAGTACCTCTGCTACTTGGTGCTGCAGCCGTTAATTCCTTGGTTGAATTGATGTGATGGCTGAGGAGGAGGAGACAGTGATGGGCACTGGTCCCTGACAATCCTGAATGACACCAACATTTCCAGCCACCTGATGTCTGCAGCAGCTTGGAGAATCCCTTGACCAGCTTGAGTGGTGTCATCTGAAGTCATAGGTCTTTTTGGTCCTGCTTTCCAGGATCCCACCCGAGTGGTCAGCCCCGTTATTGACATCATCAACTTGGACACTTTTGCTTATGTGGCGGCTTCCTCAGACCTCAGAGGAGGTAAGTCTGAGCGTCATGCATGCCCTGTGGGTGTCCAGCCATGGTGTGAACATGCACTGGCCTGAGGAGATGGTGGCTTTGCACCACGCCTGTGGCTCCTGCTACCTCACAAAAAAAGTGCATTAGCACTGTTCAGTGCTCCCCGCTGGCTATTTCCAGGCTGTTCTAGAGACAGGTGAGTGTGGCGTGAGCAATAGTGTTTGCTACAGTGGATAAGGCAGTCAGGCAGGAAAGAAGGGTCATGTCAAAGCCACCCTGGGCAGCACTGAAAGTGACAGGAGGAGATGGGGGATATCTAGGCAATAAATGAAGGATGCAACTGTAGCGCTTATTAGTATGCCTGTGCTATTTGTAGCATGCAGTATCCATCAGTGTGTGTCTGTGTGCACAAGGGGACTAAGCAAGGTTTCAGCAGCAGCTTTAATTCTGACTTTTTCTGCCTTTGGAGTGCTTGACTTTGCAATTGTAATGCAATGTGTTGTTTCTTGTTCATACATAGTAGTAAAATATGTTAGTGATTGGACTCTTCTACCAAAAGCTGCATCTCTGTGGCTAAAGTCATTTGAAAGTGGGGAAAATGCTTCATCAAACACAGCTTCTGCATCCTGCATTGCCTCCCGGTTCATACCAATTTCTAATGTCCCCATGGCACTTCTCTACTTTGGTTTTAGGTTTCGACTGGAGTTTGCATTTCAAATGGGAGCAGCTTTCCCCAGAGCAGAAAGCCAAAAGACTTGATCCCACTGAACCCATTAAGTAAGTCAAGAAGGGGTAGGAGGCACCTGTGGGGCAGAACAGGCTTCTACTCTGACCTGATGTGTGTCCCCATGCACCATAGCGGTGTGTTGCTTCTTCCAGGACACCTCTGAACTTCTAATACCTATAGCAAGCTTCTGGCTAGCCTACGTTTTGCAGTACAGCTTCACCCCCAGCACTGAAGCCTGATAGTGCCACAAAGGTAGAAGGGATATATTTATGGTTATTGGTGTTTTGGTAGTGGTTAGGGTTTGGTGTTGTAGTTAGGGAAAAAGCCCAGTGCTGTAGACTGCTGCTCCTTTCAGCTCAGCTGTCACTTAAAAATAAGGCCTTGGCCCACAATGTCTAGGCCAGTCTTTCCAGATCAGCGCTGCTCTTCTGAACCTCACTGGAGACTCCTCAGAAATGGGGGGTGCAGGAGAGAGAGCAAAACTGAACAGGAGAGATGCCATCTGTCCTCATGCTATGGGGTGGAGGGAGTTCTTCACTCTGCTGAAAATCTCTCCTGGCAGCAAGCCTGGTGCTGGTGTCTGCAGCCCCAGCCATGAAGCGCTGGGCTATGAGGCATGGAGGAGACTTGTGCCAGCAAACAGCAATTCTCCTCAAGCTATCTTCTGGGTCTGCCCTCCCCTCCTCCATGGACCTTCTCTGTGCAGTTTTCTTAGCTAATCCAAAGTCTGAAAAATAATCCTGTTTTGAAGTAAAGATCACACAGCTAGTGATGGCTTTTAAAAAGCCTTTCTGAATTGGCTCTGCCTTCCTCTCCCCAGTGGAATGGTGCTCTTAATAGGCTGGCTCCAGGCAAAAAGCTGGTCTGAGTGAATAACCCCCCAAGTGCTAAGTGCATTTTGGATGCTGAAGCCTACAATCAGGGCTGTGAACTTTGGGTTTGTAGGAGTTGTTCTAACGGGTGCATTAGGCAGTCATTAAGTGCCAGGCAGTTTCTGACTGACAGCAAAATACCAAGGCAGCTGAAAGAAAGGCTCAGATGCATTTTGAAGTACATTGTCCTTTTTTTTTTTTTGTGAGAAGGAAATACATAGGTAATGTCCCAATGATGGAAAAGGAGGCAAAGGGAAGGGCTGCTTCTGTGCATCCAGTGTTTGAAAGTGTGTCCTCTCTTCCTTACCCATTCTGCAGGACACCCATCATTGCTGGAGGGCTGTTTGTGATCGACAAAGCCTGGTTCAACCACCTGGGGAAATATGACAGTGCCATGGACATCTGGGGTGGGGAGAACTTCGGTGAGTCATTCTTCTTCATTCTCTGCCTTGCTGTGTTGGTTTCTCTTTCTGAGTCATGCCAGATGGATACAAAGTCATTTTGGACTTTGCTTTGAATGCTCTGGATGGTTTCCCTCACTGACATTCATAGGTTATGGTCTCAGTAATGTAAGGGATCTAACAACCATATTGTTGATGGGAATGATGGGAATTGAGCAATTGCTGGGATGCGGGACTGCCTGTCTTACATGCTGCTTTGATGTTCTGTAGGTAAATACTCTAAACCACAGAGTTTTCAGCTTTGGCGTTACCCTCATATTCTTTCCTGATCTTATTTTCCCCTTAATAAAGCAAAGATGTGTCTTATTCCATTGCCAACAGCATTTCGAAGCTGTGAACTGCCTTCTTGAATTTGCAGAGTACCTGGAACAGTAGCTACCTTGGCATGCTGCAAATAGGTGGCAAAGTAACACGACTGCTTATCCATTCCTTTGTCACTGACTGGCTGAGTGCTGCCAGGCTCTCCATGACACTCACTTTTCCTGCACCAAAATAATGGGTTAAGAGCTGACCTAAATTCAGTCGCCTCTGCCTCTTGTCACGGGACAGGATGGACATTAAGAAATCTCCTGCATGCAAACTTGAGAGAGCACATGAAAGAGGTAACAACCTGTCCCTTGTCCTCCTTTTCAGGTGGAACTGGATCAGGTTGGGTTGTTCTCTCTTTGAAGCTGTAGCAATGCTGTGGATTAGAGCAATACAGTGTATCCAGGAGAGGAAGGCATTCGATGTGAGACAGATCAGAACCTGGCTTTAATAGCTTGCACCCCTGGGGAGTACGGCTAGCCAGGAAGGAAGGATCTTGTGTCTTAACACATACAGCAATGCTGTCAGTCATCCAAGGGAACAGATGCTGCCACCTTGCAGTAATCCATTCGCTGCCTGGCACTGTTGTTTGCTTCACATGCCTTGTCCCTGTAGATATATTTTATTTAGTTATATCTTGTTGTGCAGTAGGATCTTGCTCACTCATGCTTTCTCTCTGTGGGTTGGTATCTTGCCACCAGACTGCCCCAGAGTGTCTGAGTGGGGTGGCTCTAAGGAAACCAAAGAGGGGAGTGACAGCCCTCCTGCCTCCCCCGCTGGATCAATGGCCCAAACAAAGAAGGGAACTAGACAGGAAGAGAGGGGAAGAAGGACTGTCACGCTGTGTCTGACCTGCTGTCGCTGCTTGTCATTCGCCTCTGACAGCAGCCAGCCCGAGCTGCTCCTGGGAGATGAACAGTGACAGGACAGCCTGCTCTTGGGGGAAGCTCCATCCTGGCAGCTTGTCCAATGCCCTGTAATGGCAGGCATTGTGCTCCTTACATGTGGTTATGGCCCATCCTACGGAGCAGAGCACAAGGTTTCCCTCACTGGTGCTGTGCCCCAGAAGGCTGGTCCCAGCTGAACGTACACTGGCTGTGCTGCAGGGTGTGCCAGGACATTGGTGTGACAAAGGAAAGCCAGGCAGGTTAACTTTGCAACAAAAAAATGCAGGTCTGCATAGTAGCAGGGCAGATCCTCTCTTTCCCATCGCCCTGAGAGCAGCAGTGTGCCTGGCTCACAGCTGTATCTCGTGCAGGCACAGCAGTCAAGGGCAGTGTGTCCCATCTCTCCTTTGCACATAAACAAGGGCAGCTGAGACCCTCCTGGGCCCAGTCAGTTCTGGGCAGGTGATGGAGAGCAGGAGCTGACCAAGCAGCTGCTCATTTTGGGTGTTTGCAGTGAACCATGCTTTTCCTGGTAGCTTAGTCCTGAGGGGATGCAGGACTCCGGTCCTGAGGAGCATCACTGCTGCTTTTAATGTTATTGACTGTGCAACTAGAAGGGGGCTGGAGACTTTAGACAAAACAAAAATGAGTCTCTTTGTGTTGGAAGAAGGATATTGTAGGTGTTTTGCTTCTTAAATGTACTTAATTCCCTCTAGATGAGTAATGGCAGAAAGGACTTGCAGGCAAGCAAGAAGTGCTAAAGGTATTTTGCCAAGTGAAGGCCAAGTCCAGTACACCCCAATGCGTATTGCTCACATCCCTCCTTGGGGCCACTTGAAGGGACCACTTGCACTGGCAACATCTCTCAAGGGTCAAGTGATGCACACTGTCATTTCCTGCTCCCCTGGCTCCTCTGAGTTGACCCTGTGCCATGCTTTAGCTGGTGCCTCAGTTTACCTTCTCTTGAGGCACTTAGCTCTTGGCTGCCTGTCTGGATACCCTGTTTGTTAGCTGCCATGGATGACTCCATGGGTCATCTCTGCTGGAGAAAACCTGTGCTTTAATTGTTTCTGCTGGGCCTAGAGCAGGGTCTGCAGGGTGCAACTAGTTTGAAGCAGGGAACTCTGAGTCCTCACCATCTCATGCCTCCCCAGCACTGTGTCCTTGTTCCAAACTGCAGTGCACAGAGATCACATCTTCATTAGGCTTTACATTAAGACCAGGTGAAGACTGAGTTGTGCAAGTCTTTCCCTTGTAGCACTTCAGGGAGCTGCTCTTCTGCCAGGCTGAGCAGAAGGACCAGAGGAGGGGAAGGCATGATGCAGTAGCCACGCTGTGGTCCAATCCACAGCTGCTTGTCTGGTTGTCCCCTTTTATCAGGCACCCTTCTAATTTACACGGCAGCACTGGCAGAGTGGCCGGCGCTGTGACACACGGACAAATGAGAGCAACAGCCACATGCAAGGGGAACTGAGCACAGCAGCTTAGAGTGGCCATATCCTGCTGTAATCTCATTTCCCTGCAGCTGTGATTAAGGTTGCTCCCAATACAGCACCAGGACATGGCACAAAGGCGTGTTTTATTGACCTGTTAATACCCATCACTGGGGAAAGTGGTAAGGCTCCAGCTGCTGTTGCAGCTCTTGCATGTAAACACAGCAGTGAAGGGAAGGGCAGGGAATATCTGGGAAGGAATACTCCTCCCTGCTGTGCTTTCCCACCATTGTTTGCCATTGTTTGCCCCTGCTCCCAGGGCCAGCTGTTAGGGATGGGGTCAAGCCTTGAATTTTGGGCCTGCACACCAAGGCTTTGCAGCTGTGTTGGCCTCCCATTTCTATCAGCTCAGGAGCAGGCAGGTGTGTTGGGAGTGGGATGGGAGCAACATTAACCTGACTTCCACCTCTGCAGCAACATGCAACTTGGGGCTGAGCCATGTGTACTGAGAAGGCTTTGGAGGTCCAGACTCCAATTCGCCTTTGCTTCCTGAAACTGTGAGTTGTTTTTGGAGGGATGGCAGCTTTGTAGGCCAGCAGTGCCTACCGTTGGAAGAGGAGGAGTCCTGTCCTAACTGCCCAGTTGGCCTGCCTGCCACAGGTGCTTGTCTTGCCAGCATCTGACCTTGCCTTGGCATATGTGAGGGGACTGCTGGGAGCACAAGCTGGCAAAGACGATGGGTGTCCTCCTGTCTTAATTCTGTAGTTAAATGGGGGGGGTGAAAATGAATCATTAGTTTTGGAGTAGATACATGCTACCTATAACTCTATACTGTCAACAGATGATAAAATAGGATTCAAAGAACCACAGAAGCCTTTTCATTTTAATTTCGTTTCTTTTCCATACTGGTTCCGTCTGAGCATGACTTCCTGACAATAGAGCTGCAGATTCATAGCTTCATAAACATTAGGACCAGATGGGCCCATTAGATCAGCCATTCTGTTCACCCATCCTACCTCATCCAGCTCCCTGCCAAGAGCTCTGTAACTTCTGGTATCAGTTGTGCCACAGGCTCATTTTCTTTGAGAGGGGCCCCATGGGCCAGCCAGTGAGTGGCTTGGAGTGACTGGGAGTCATTTCCCATACTGACAGCTTATCCAGACTTTTGAGATAATCCCTCTCGCCACTGACCTTTGCTTGTGTGGGGGTGTGTGCCATATTGTGCCACAACATTGGCACTGATGGCCCATAGTACCTGGGCAGGGTAAGCTCCAGTCCATCTTGGGACAGGCAATGGATGCACAGCTCCCTGTTCAGTTTGCAAAATCAATGCTGGATTCATAAAGAAAATGACAGTTGTAGTCATTCATAAAGAGAACTCATAGCCTCTCGTGGCGAATTTGACAGCCCTTTGGAGGGAAGTGACTCTGAAATAGGCAGTGCAGAAGTAATTAGGGGAGCACAAAATTGGCAAGACGATTCTGCAATGTAAGCGGGGCTGCATGGAAAGGGACCTGCTTACTGTCTCATGCTTGCTATTGTGATAGCACCTGCTGTGCTAGAGGCAGGTTTCAAGTGCACTGACTTCAAACAGCTTGCAAGGAGCTTTGAAATGCACTTTTAAGGCAGTTTTGCCTAGGAGAGCCCCTCTGGTAATTGATTTAGCCCAGTTTAATGTGGCAGGAGATGAAGTGAGAGCTAACACTAGGATCCAGACTGCTCTAGGACAAAAAGACAAAATGCTGAAGCTGCTTCTCTTGTAGAAATCTCCTTCCGTGTGTGGATGTGCGGAGGGAGCCTGGAAATCATCCCCTGCAGCCGTGTTGGGCATGTCTTCCGGAAGAAACATCCATACATCTTTCCAGAGGGAAATGCCAATACGTACATTAAGTAAGTGGTTTGTACTTGCTCTTTTTTGTGAAACAGAATGAGGAGCTGCCTTGTAGGGAGGCAGGAGGAGAGAAGACAGGGAGGAAAGTTTGTTTAGAAAACTCTGAAATATCCTTGGGCAGGAATTTCCTGAGCCAAAGAACATGCATGTTAGTGCAACTGTCCTGCAGGATTTCTGCAGTGTCAAGAAAATGACAAAAATAGGACATTTATATGGTGCCTTCCAGGAATGGCCCCAGCACATCCCTGACCACTAGCTACTGAAACAGCAAATGGTTTAGACCTTGAGTCATCAGAACACATTTATAATGACCTGCAGTCAGGCTGCCAGCAACGTCAGTCGTCAGTACCCAGTGACCTTAGCTGCGTGTTCAGCGTGGCTCAGCTGAACCAGAAAATTTGGTTCCCAAAGTCTCTCCAAGAGGGGAGCCAAGCACCTTGGTGGAGTGGATGACTGTGCCTCTGGACTGGTGCTGTCTCTTGAGCAGAGGCAGCAATGTGGCGCACCTTGCTGGCATGTACACTGGAGGAACTACCAGGGCATCCCAGCTGAAGGGGACCTCTCGTCAAACACAGGAACATAGGCTGAATCAGATCCTGAAAACATCAGGCAAAGAAGAAGGCAATCCAGAAGTGAGAATAGGCATGGGAAAGTTGATGGTAGCAGCCAGAAAGGTCAGGAAGGATGTTCTCTGTTTTTAGACTGTGAGGCTGAACGTGTTTGCTTAAGTAAACGACAAACACGTGGAGTACTTATACTAAATGCAGGGTTGTTTCTCAGCTAACCTGCAGTTGTGAGTGCTTACACATCAGGCATTCCTTTTAGTGCAGGCTTCCCAGTGTTAGAAAGAGCCAGCAGCACTTGTGAAGACCCAGGCTCTCTGCAGCTTCCCTATCTTTTACATGAGATAACGAGCTGGGGGAGTGCAAATTACACTTCTCAGTTACACCTAATTCCATGATTTCCAGCCATGCAGTATGTGGGGCAGGAAGGGGACTTTGTCGCCTTCCTTTGAATAGCCGGTGTTGAGGGGCACAGGGCATTGCTGGAATCAAGGAGGAGAGCACTAGTTTGAGAGTCATGAGGAAGGCTCTTGCTTTTAGTATTGAAGTAAGATTCGTACAGAAGAGGCTGGGATGTGGCAAAATCTCTGCTGTCGACATCGGTGCAAACCTGAGTGAAAAGGTAGTGTCTGCATTGCATCACCTGCAGGAGGAGCAAGGAGAGCTTGAATGGGTACAGCTCTTCTGGCTGCTTCTCAGGCACAGGCCTCTGGGGACCTAGGGGATGCCTGTATCCTGTAGGTGTGAGTCTCATCATTTATCCCCGTGTTTCTTGTAAATCCAGATGAGATCAGGAAGCCAAACAAAAGAACCCTGCACTTTGGGGAAGGTTAGGTACAGATGTAAACACTGATTCAGTCATCTCTTGAACAAGAGCACTTAAACTATTTCCTTAGAGAGAGGGGAAGAAGCCCATGAATCATCAAGGAACTTAAAAGCAGTCTAGAGAAACATACCTGTAGGCATCAGGAGGTTGGATGTTGTTAACCCTATGATATCTATCAGCCTTAAACTTAATATAATAGTATATAGACACAGAGGAGAAGCAGCTTCTGGCAACCTGATGCTATGTAGTACTTCTATTTAAATAGAGATGTTAGCAAAAAATATCTCCATCCTTCTGCCAGATCCTGATTTTTTTTCCACATAGCCCATACTTCAGAGTGAGCTTGGACTCCAGTGTAGTGCTGGCTTCAGATGCTGACTGTCTCCTTTTCTGGCCTCCTGGGACTTGGCTGGATCCAGAGCCTGCCCACGGCACCTGCAGTTTAGTGATGTGGTAGCAACAGCTTAGAGGCACTGGACTGCCTTGGAACAGGAGATTGGAGGACTCCCCTGGCCTGGGCAGAGATAGGTAGATAGGCATGGAGCAACAAAGATATTTGCAAGAAGAGTTAGAGCCATCTCAAGTCAACAGAAGACTTGCTGAGGTTCATAAACCTACAGACACCTGGCTGATGTGAAAGACTGATATTTATGCACTGCAGTGGGGTAGTTCCTCTTAAGTTTTGAATGCTGAGGTTTGCCTCAGTGAAATCCAGGAATGCAATGCAGGAGAGTCCATACAGGATTGACTCAAAGGAAATATTTGCAAATCTTTGCAAATTTTTCACCACTTTTCTGAGCTCCATCCAAGCCACTAAATAAAACACTAGGCACTACTGCCTGGGAGATGATGCTTAAAAGAACCTTCAGTTCTGAGTATGGTAGATACAAAGAATCCAGCTGAGTTTGAAATGGTGAATTCTTCACCCAAGCTTTATTTGGCCTGATGAGTTTGGTCCCTGGAGTAATGAGGAGGAGTACCTTCTCTAGTATTAAGGAGTGGGCTGTCTCAAAGGTGATTTGGGTGATGCCAAAGACCGAGTTGAGGGTAGGAGGAGAGCAGGATGGATCAGTTAATGCATTTTGGAAAATGTTACCTTGGAGGCTTCCTTGGTTTCATCTGTCTTTTACTGCCTCCTTCAGAAACACCAAGCGCACTGCGGAGGTGTGGATGGATGAGTTCAAGCAGTACTACTACGCAGCTCGTCCCGCAGCCCAGGGGAGGCCTTATGGAAAGTAAGGGTCTTGCTCTGCCTGTGCCCTGCCTGTACCCTTCCTGTGCCCTGCCTGCTGCAGTGGGGTGTTCACGGTGACGTCTCTCTGCTGCGGAAACCCGCCTGTGTTGTTTCTGTAGTAACGCTCAATTAAATGCTAATGGTAGGCAGATGCTATGAGCACAGCAATGAGACCTATAAACAGCCAGTTTATATGCTGTGCTGATTTATCCCAGTGAGTGAACCAAACCCAGGTGGGGGAAAACCTTTGCCTATGTCCCACCCTTGGCATTAGGTACAAGTACTTCTCGTCCCAGAGCGGGGTTTGGTGGGAGAGTTCAGAGGTGTTGTTGGCAGCTGAGGAGAAGGAAAATCATCAATTTTTTGGCCTACTAATGCCTTATTGGAAAGGAGCAAGTCCTTTGTATGCAGGGAGTTTGCCATTCATTCTGTGAACAGTCAGAAACACCTCCCTGTCAGGAGGACTGTAAATATTTGTGTTATATTTCTCATTTTCATGTGGTCCTCCTTGCCTTAGAAAGTTTCCTGTGGACCACAGGTGGTTCCAAATCCAAACTCAAATTCCTTGTAGCTAATATTCAATCTCCAGAATAAATAAATTGAAGTCCTGCTGACTAACCTGTTTTCACTGAATTAATATCCTACTCCCATCTATTGGCACCAAATGAAGTAGCATCTCTGTCCTGCTTTTTATAGGAGGGTGTGGAGAAGTTACCCTATGCAAAAGGAAGGTACTGGAGGCTTCCAAGTACTCTGTAAATGCCAGCTCATAACAGCTCCACAGGCTGGCCTAGGGAGGAGCTGGAGTTTGGAAAATGTCACTGTACTACCTAATCCCTCAGCAGGAATTTTGTCATGATTAATGAAAGAAAAAAGTATTTCACCATGAGATTAACTTCTGCTGACTTAAAAATGTGTTTAGGTGCTCTTGGAAATCAAGGCCTCCTGTAGTCCTGTAAACTAAGAGTAACTTAGTATAGTGAATAGCATATATTAATTTCCTTGTACGTTAATATATTAAAGTAATGCTTACTGCATATAGTAGACAGCATACATTTTTTACTGATAATTTTTAAATGACTCTACTTTTCCTTTGATCTATTTATGCACCCAACTTCAGACTCCTTGTTAAAATGGCAATATGTTGTCATGCCATTTTACCAAAGAGATGGAGATCAAAACAACCTCTCAAGCTCATGCAGAAGAGAGCAGAAAATAGAGCTGCTGATGCTCTTGTGTTTGCTGTCTGTGCATATCTGTTGGATTTCTATCAGCCTCCCTTTTTAGTATGTTGGGTCTCACTTTATTCATTTCCATTGCATTTCTATGATATTTTCTTCCTATAGTGTCCAGAGCAGAGTGGAGCTGCGGAAGAAGTTGAAATGCCACAGCTTCAAGTGGTACCTGGAAAACGTTTATCCTGAACTTCGGTATGGATGTGCCATCTCCACCTGTCTCTAGCAGGCCAGTGGGATGCCCCATCCCTCCTGCCCCACAGAGCCTCCCTCTTCATCTCCAGTCCCCCCATGTCCCCCTGCCCCAGAGACTCAGGCACCCCCTCCCTTGGGCTTCACAGAAGGGCAGAGTAAATTTTATGCTGGTTTCAAATACAGTGTGCCATGCTGCAGGGCCAGGAGTTGGTCTTCGGATATCCTTGTGGGGTCCCTTCCAATTCAGGATATTCTATGATCCTATGATTTGCGATCCTGCTTTCTCTAAACAATCTTATAGACCTTGCAGCTCTTCGCTGTGGGATTAATGAGGGACAAAACACCAGTTATTCCCATTTGCTCTCAGGGATTCATTAGGTGTCCTCCTGCCCGTGCTGTGGGACAGGTTGCATAGGGAAATAGCTAGTTTTCCTCTCAAAAGTATCCCAAGGCAGAAAATCCACCATAGCTTCTGCTGGGCTGTTTCAGTACTTAATGACTCTTGCTTACTAAAGAAGCACCTAATTTCCAGTCCTTTCACACTGTTCTGTGGTACTCAAGACTTCCCTGTTGTGAAACCATCCACTCTAGGATTTTATGACTTGTATTCAGATAGCTCTGCCTTGCTTTGCTTAATATCCACTTCCACAGTTGTTTTTGCACAGATATTTTTTAGTTACCAAAATTATTCTAGAAACCATTGCATTCATCCTCCTATCAGGAGCCATCCTCAGAAAGGGTGGAAAAGTTCTGGAGGTACTGCCAGGCACCCTGCTGGTGCAATGGCTGAGTGCAGAATCACTGAGTGAAAATGGTGATTTATAGCTGTTTTCTTGGGTTTTTTTGCCGTGTGTGGCGTTGCACAGCAGCATTCACAGGGAACGCCAGGGCTCTGTGACAGTGTGTTATAAAGTTCCCCGCTCTTGTAAGCTGAAGGCTGACCTTCAGCCTGCTCAAAGTCTATTCCTTGCTCCTCTGTTTGCCTTGTGCACTGTTATTTATTTTTTCCTCTCGTAAAGGTCAGCCATCCACCTCCGAGCGCTGCTTCTGCAGCGTCCCTGTCCGTGTACTGCTCTCAGTGGTTCCGTGTTGTAATAGATCTTGCCACTTCCATTTTGTGAAGGTGAAATGGTGTGACCTTACCCCACTGAGCCTCCTTTGAGTACTCCGTGGGCCTGGGGGAGTATGGATGTTGTTTAAACGCTGTTCCCACAGGATTCCCGAGGAGTCGCTCTATCAGACTGGGATGATCAGGCAAAGACAGAGCTGCCTGGAGTCACACAAGTCTGAAGACCAAGAGCTCCCCATCCTGAGCTTAAATCCTTGTAACAGCAGCAAGGGCACAGTACCAAAGGCACAGGTAAGATGTGTTGTGTATCCCCATGATGCTGGATGGAGAGAAGCCTCTGGGTCAGCTTCAAGATAATTTCTTAAGTTTGCTAAAGCTCTGTTGGAGGATTTACCTGTTCTGACAGGCCCTTTCCTTAGATAGCACATAGTTAAACCCTGGAAACTCCACCTGACTTAGGTGGAAGCCCTGGGCAGCAGCAGGGATTAGTGCAAGAGCCACAGTGCAGTGTGGACCACTCATCTCTGTGCCAGCCTGTGCTGACCACTTAGTGCCAGGAACACCACGCGCTGCTCATCTGCGCAGCTCAAAGACAAAGAGAACTATAATTTCCTCTCCTCTTTCAGCCTTTTCTCTTTCAAAATGCACTGAATCGCAATGGTATTTATAACTTCCTAGTCTGCATTCTCTCAGTATTAGATTGCCCATTAAACTAGTGAGAATTTAATGAGGACGATCTTGTTTTTTTCAATCTCACTGAGATGAAAAAAAGCTGTATGAATTGATCTTCTCAAAATCACAGTCCAGGAAACATCAGAGCCAAGAGTAGGCTCATGTGCCTTGTTGCAGCAGAGTTTCTGGAGCAAGACCCTGAAGACACGGCTGCAAAACCTGCCTTTCCTTCAGCCTCCCTTTGTGATTTGGGCATGTCAGTAAGTTCTCTCACTGTTCCCATCTATAAAACAGGGAACATAACAATCACTTGCTTCTCCACTGTTGCTATGAAATAATTTAATAGGCAATGGTGTGCTTGCTTCCGCTTGACTGTACATTCATAACCCTCGTGGTTACACATTCAAGCCAGGTAGCTGTGCATATAAAAGGCCCAGCCTGGGGAGACTGATTTGTATGTGCAAAGGAAGTTTGTCATTATGTGCATCTCTTTCAAATGCAGTTGCATACCTGTCTTTAGGTAGGAAAATAATATCTGTTTTACAGCGTGGTAGAATCAACAATGATTACTCGAATATTAGTCCGTTCAGAAAATATAATGAATATAATTGTGAGTGTTGCACAGTTACACTTCTTATGGTTTCACTGGTTTCCAGGTTCTAGGATTGTTTTTATTTCTTCCTCTGCTACGGGGACTTTTCATACAAACAGCAAGAAAAGCAAGCTAATGAGAGGAGGTCATCATGTTTTGCAGGGCCAACTCTGCAGAAGAAAAGAAAAATGTTTCAGTGACAATTGCAACTTTCAATGAATTGGATGTTTTTAAAAAAAAATCTGGGAAAATCAGAATGAAAAATGCTACTGCAAGCTAGCGTTTCAAAATGAAATGGTATTGGTCTTCCTGAAATATCAGTTCGATGTGGTATTTTAAAATGAGAAATGTCATGCCAACAAGTTGGATTGTTTCATTCCCAGCAAACACATTTTGTTTTGACATTTCTGTGCACTAAATTTTTGGAATTTTTCATGTCACAAACTTTTCAGCTTCCCATTCTGATTCTGCAGCAGTTTGCAATAGGTCAACACTTCCTACTGGATGGCAGCTCCATTTCTTGTGCACATCCAGGACTAACTCTGCAAGGGAACAGAAAAATACACTACAAACAGATTGCAGAATGCCTATACTCAGTACACAACAGGAACAGTGAAAAACCTTTTCCTTTTATCTTTCTGTCTTTCTAGGATAATTCTCTGTTACTTGTACCCACAGAGACTGTTTCAGATTAAAGTATGATATTTAAACTTTCACTGTGAATAGAAACATTTTAATGACACAATTGTTACAAGACCACCTGAACTTGTGGATGATATGGGTGTTATAGTCACCAGGCTGTGTAGGATCAATTATGCAGCAGTCCTGAATGCTACTTAGTTTTGCATTTGATATACCATAATAGAGCAATAATCTTCACTTTTAACATACTGGTCACATCTTGTTTGCCCTAAGCTTCATTATTTGAAAAATAGGTTTAGTTGAATCAAAGCTGTGCTTTCCTGACATTCAGCAAGTACCATGGAAATATCCTGGCCATCCAAATTCTTTATTATCACTATTACAGGAGCAGTAATTTGGTTGCTTTGATTACCTTTCTGTATCTGTCTCACTGCTAGGGTCCCCCAGCCCTTTAGCAACATTACATGCATAAAGTCCTGGGACTGGGTGTGAGAAGATCTGAGCTATCATACATTATCATGGTTTAAAGAGAGAGGCAAAGGAGCTGTGAGATGGCAATGAGTTGCTCTTTATTTTAGTTCTTTCTATCTACAGTGCAGGGGAAGGATGTTGTGAGACCTTTGGCTACATGCATAGTTTGGATACATTGAGATGAATACTCTGTGGTGAAATTACACCCTTAGCAGATCTCACAGACCCTCCCTGGTGGTGTCCGGTGTTGGCCTTGAATTACAAAAAAGGGCACTGAGGCACAAAAAGACCCCTCATCTTTGTGTAGAAGAGCTCTGTTCTCTCATCCTGGGGATCCATTTGGCCCTTTCTGTTCCTAAAGGTCTGGCAGTGGACAAAGTAGGCTCTGTCCCTTGAGATGGTTCTCAGAGGGCTCAAGTTATTTACTGGCAGAGATTTTTGTGCAGTGCTCATCCCCAGGGTACAGCGGGCTCTGCCTGCACTCCTGCCCACTGGAGCCCTTGTACTCTATGCTTTGTTGCGTCTCATTTGCTAAATGAAGAGATTGATTTAGTTTTTCACAAGAGAAATGCATCTGAGGGAAAATAATTGATCATAATTTTGTCCTCATCTATCTAATGAAGATGTGAGTAGTTGGGGTTTTTTTCCAAGTCAAGTGTCAGTTGATATTAGTTCACAGAGTTTGGAACACACATCTGACTCTGGGATTTATTTAAATCATTAGCAGCTTCAGGAAACCTGACATACTTCAGATAAAAAAAGCAGAAGGTGCTTTGACCTGGATACTCACACACATGTAAGCAGTCGCTGCAAGATGAATGTGAAGTTCAAGCATCTTCTAGACAAGCAAGGAAACAGTAAGAAGGCTGTGGCATCCATTTCCTGGGCCTGCACCCCAAAATATCTGGTGTTTGGAGCTGAGTGGCTGCCATTGCATTTGAGTGGCATGTCCTTGACTCTTCCTGTGAAGGAAATGCAATCTGATAATCTGCCTGATACAGCTTTGATGCTCACCCCAGTTCGCTTGAGGTCCTCTGCTGACTAAATCTGCATTTTGGAGAACATTTAGCATCTATCCAAACTAAGTGTGCCTCCTGAGACAACTCAGCCATAAACATTCTCTTCTGACCTTCCTCCCCTCAAAAGCCTTCGTTCTTCTTCATGGACACGTCCTGCCCCAGCTGTAGGCTGGCCAGAGCTGCAGGAGACAGGCTGAGCTAGCAGAGCAGAGGGGTAGCAGTGTCACCTCTGCACCCAGCTTGTCATGGGCATCTTTTGTGTACTTTGCTTTCCCTCTCCTGAGATGTGTGTAAGTGCCAGTTGCATCCCAGGGTCTTTTGATGAGGGGAGCACTTTGATATTCTTAGGTGACCCATGCAGTCACGTGCCTTGGGAAGTCCTTCCCTCTGATTTTAAAAAGATAATTGGGGGATTAGATTGTTCCCAGCTTCTTCAGAAACATTTTTCTCTAGCTACTACCTTGGCTTTAGGGTACAGCTGACCTCTTACTCAGTAGCAGAGGCCTCTCTGTCACGTAATGCTGGGTTCCCATGGGACTGCTCCTCCCTAGGCTGAGGGGCTCCTTCCTCCATCTGTCAGCCAGGCTATGCCAAGCCGAAGGTCACATTTTAAAATAATTTCCTCAATTCGTAATCATGCTGAGTAACAGTGACAGGTGCCTGCTCAAATGATGCTAAAGCCTTGAAAAATAGTCAAAAGCCTCAGATGGGGGTTTAGTGTTATCTGAGGCTTTGGAGGAGGGGGATTGCTGGTTGTGGTATGCAGCTGGTAGCTCTGTTCTCCAAACCCACCCTCTTCCTCCTTACTCCACCACCACTTGTGTTTGTCTTCGAAAAGGCAGGAGATCTTGATCTCAGTTTCACCTCATATATCTGTTTTTCATTGGTGATGGGAGCAGCTCAAAGCCCTGATGGCATCTCTTCAGGCCAGTCTGCAGCCCTGAAGCCATGCTAGCTCCTTGAAGATCTCCTTAGGAGTACCATGGGTTGCACTGTCCACCACAACCTCCATGGTGTGAAGCTCTGCTGTTGTTACTGCTGTGCTGGCCGTGTCAGTGCTAGGGGTGCCAGGGTTTAGGAGATAAAGTAGTTTGTGATGGAAAAGGAAAAAAAGGCAGAAATTTTATTCCCAACTGCTACAAATAAGGAAAGATATGAGGTAAGATAAAAATTTACATGGCCATTTGCATGCATTTGAACTCAAAGCCCTTCATGGATTCTGTGGTGTTCAACTGACTCCCCCCTACCCCCCCAGATTTCTTAATTTTCTGCATCATTTTCTCTGGCTTTCATCTAGGGCCGAGAGGGGACAAGACATGATTAGAGCTGGATAAAACATTTTCAACAGGACTGGCTTTCATAAAGAACCATTCTGCCAAAATAGATGAGCTGTGTGAATATCTGTCAGTTGAGATAAAGACAGTAGAAGGACAGCCTAGGGGCAAGAGGGTAGGATCCAATGTCAACTGTTGAACTGATGCATACATCTAGCTCTGGATTCCTCACTTCTTATGATGAACAAAGCTTAGGAAAGATGGTTACCACCACCCTTTCTGTCCCATGGACCATTGCTGAATGAGAGAATGGTCCTGCCTTGAGAGGATGTGAATATTGGGAAGGCTTGAACAGAGCCTGGCCTGGGAAAAAAGCATGGAGGACCTTTGTGAGGAGCGGTCCTCCATGAGGTACCTCAGTGAAGCAAGGAGGCTAAGACATCAAAGGAAAAAAAAAAAGTCCCATGGCCTGAGTTAGTTGGAGGATCCAACATATACACAAGTCCAGGATTAACTAGCTGCTGCTGAGGAGCATCATGGATGCAGCTCCAGCCCTGTCCTGAGGTAGAATGACTAACAACTGGTTAAAAATGTAAAGCAGCTTTTCAAAGCAGCTTGTAGTAGTGTGGGCACCAAGAACAGATGTTGGAGCTTGCCCCGTAGGGTTTGGTTCTTCACAGATGCAGGAGTAATTTGGCACCTGATTTCCCAGGCTGGTGATTTACACAGCAGCTGACAGCGTGCATGGTTGGGATGTCTGGAATATGTTCACTGTAGGATCAGGTAAACTCTGCTCCATATGACAAAGAAGAACTAGTTGCCAGAAGGCCCTTTGGGTGCAGATTACAGCTTTGAAAATGAATGCTTGTTATGTGCCCAAATCCTGGGCAGAGCTCACTGAGAAGCCTGTGGGCAGGCTGTTCAGAAAGCCAGGTTTGATTTCCATGAGCTGGTGGGGAGTAGTGGGCTAAGAAGCACGGGGTGTCAGGATCACAGTGTGAAGTCCTTGTGGAGCTGGGTCTGCTGTGCAAAAGCATGTTTTCCCTTCTAGGTGGCTAAGAACCTGAATCAAAGTGGGATTTATGTTCCCAGGAGTTAAATGCCTGTAGCTGTCTGTTTTGAAGTTGAGGAGAGGAGTTAGAGCTGCTGACGGTGACAAATACCAAAGGAGTGGAAGCGTTTCCCTGCTCTAATAATTCATGCTAGTGCAACAAAAAACCTCCACCATTCAAAGTCGGGGGAGCTGCAGGCATCCCAGCTCTGAGAGCAGGGCAGCCATTCTTCACATTCCCCTCCAGCACTTAGAAAGGGTTGAAGTCTCCCAGGGGCGCCCTTTACCCTTCATTTTTCCAGCCTCAGCCTAATAGCCATATGTTTGAGCTCTGCCTTCCCCTCCATTGCCGACACCACTGCTGACATAACTTCTCATGGAGCTTTGACTCTCCATATCTGAGCTCTCAACTGTTTTGCTTTCTCAATGCACCTTTCCTTTCACAGCAGGTTTTGAGTTTTCATAGCCTGTACTGTGTCAAAGCATCTGCCTTGGCTACTGGGGGCTGTTGCAGAAACCCTCTTGCTCCCTGGCCTTGTCTCTCCAGCAGGGTTATTGCCCTCTGATAGTGAAGCCAGCCTGCTCTTTGTCCTCCGGTCCTGCTCACCTACCCTGCCACGGTTCAGAAACCTGCTTTCCATTTGCTCCCACTGCTGCTCACCTGACTGCTCAGAGCCATTTACATAGCAGGAGTTGATCCTGCTTTGCACCCTGGCTAGGGGCCCTCAGAAAACACTTCCAGCCCTGCTCTTTCTAATTTTAAAGTTGATGCTCACACAAAGTTATAAGCAAAACAGTTGTTCCAGGATTCTCCCTCCAGAGTTATGTGAAAGCCTGGTTTGCAGTTTCCCATCAGCCAAATGAGCTCTTGTCTGTTTGTGTACACACACAAATAGCAAGGAGACATCCCTTGCTTGGTATCCTCTCAGGAGCTCCTTTTGGGTTATATGAGCACTGGTAAATGATAGGAAAGTTCAACTGGAATAAACGTTGGAGTAAACTTCTGTGAAATACTCCTGGGCTATGTATCTGTACGTGCCTGATGCTTCGTTGTGCACATTTAGAAATTCTGGTCAAACTATCAGCTGCTTCTCTTTTTTCCCAAGTAAAACATTCGGTAGTGAAAAAGAGGGTAATCCCAGAGAGCCCCTGTTGTTTGGTAAGCATCACACTGGACAAAGTCTCTGCTCCTCCAAAGTTTACTTCTTAGGCTGAGAAGCTCGTAAGAGAAGGTGAACGTGAAAAGCAGTATGAGGAAAAAACCTTCAAGACAGCTCAGAGGAACAGAAGTAGCAGTGGTCATAGCAAACCAGTACAGCAAACCTTTGGAATTTGCTCCTGCTGCCTTGATAGAAAGCCGAGCTTTATCCCTGATTTTTGTTATATTTGGGAACAGAATCCTAGGAGTTGCAAATATTTGCTTTGTATCACCTCTCCCACCACCAGCTGCAAAACATTTCTGCTGCTCTTCCTTGGGAAAACAGGATTCCACATTGTGTAGTTAGTAGTATTTCTGCTTCTCTTTTGCTTTTTTCCCATCCTTTTTTTCCCCCAACCACAGCCCATTTCTAGCTATGGAATCTTTTGTCTCATGAACTATTTTCTTCCAACTGCTTTTGTAGACGTTTTCTTTGGTACCTGCAGTCCCCCAATAACAGCTGCAGTTTTGGAGAGGCTTGAAACAGTGACCTGTCCTGGTGCCTCTTGAAGTCAATGATGTTTGTGCTTGCTTTCAGAAGGGGCATGATCCAAGCCAAAGTGTTGGTTTTCTGGGTAGAAGAATACCAAGAGTCAACACTGATCTCTCACCTCGGTTTTTTTCTTCCTCTCTGCAGGAATGGACATACACGTACAACCACCAAGTCCGCCAGCAGCAGCTGTGTTTGTCTGTGTACACTCTCTTCCCTGGTTCCCAGGTGCTGCTGTCACCTTGTAAAGAAGGTGACAACAAGCAGGTGAGCCCTTTCACTGATCCCCCATTTTCTTTGAGATTCCCTTTCTTTCATCATAGTATTACTACACAGTAAATGGCCTGTGTGTTCTGACTTCATCTGGGAAGCACAGTCTATTCAGGAGTACAGACTCTGGCCTGTTCAGCCCTTTGCCTCTCAAATGAGTGTGTTGATAAGGATGTCTATTAGTGAGGGTGGTGATCTGGATACTTATCTGCAGAAGTCAAACCCAAACTGGCAATTTAGTTCACACGGGCTGCCAGTCAGGCAGCAGATGCTAACGTTTCTCTGCAGTTAATCATTGAGCTGGCATTTGAACCAGTGACCTGGGGAAAAAGCTGTTAGTAATATATTATCTTCCTGAAGCCAGGCAGAGGCTGAGCTTAAATGAGCGTGCTTCTGATGGGAAAAATGCTCAGTGTGTGCTCTGCTTGGTGTGAGTTTGGGGACCTTGTGCTTCCCAGCATCAGGCCACAGAGGCTTAGTGACAACTGTCCTTTTGATGCTGGAACAGTATAATAAAAATATAATGGGGCGGAAGCTTGTTCATGTGTTTCTCTCTCGTGTGTCTCTCTCCTCAGCGATGGGGTAAAGTTGGGTCACACATTGAACACATAGCCTCACGCTTCTGTTTGGACACTGAGACGATTGGGGACACGAATGAAAGTATTAAAGAGCTTGTCATCAACCCTTGTGAGAGCACAGCCATGAGTCAGCGCTGGGACATGGTGATGTCTTGACTTGCTGGAAGAGGTGCACGGCAGGGACGGGCACTGAGACGTTGCTACACGCAGCCAAGATGCACCAGCTGGAGCTCAAATGCAAAGCCACTGGGGTTCCTTGTGTGCTGTGGGACAGAAGAAGAATCATTCAAATAAAAATGGGACACAGCAGTCCAAGTTGAACAACGCATTTTGACTCTAAGGCATGCAGCTGGTATTGGCCTGTTGGCAGTCATACATTCAAAGAGAAGGGATGGCAAAAAAACAAGCTTGAAATGTTTTAGAGGGATGCTGGGGCTCCTGCTATGGGCTGTATAGAACTTCAGTGTGCACAGTATTGGTTATCCACCTGAAAATGCAGGTAGAAGAGTCTTGAAGACCAAAAGGAAATTTGGACTGAGCAAAGCAAGCATCTCAATAGCTTTTGAGGGTTGAGATGGGTGCACAAGGTGGGATGCTAAGAAACATCTCCAGGGATCAAGTGGAAAATGCTGAATTATCTTTGCACTTCTTACTGCTGTGAATGCTTTTGTCTCTGCAGACAGCATGGGTGGAGCCATGTTGCACGTTTGAATTTGTACCTAATCCACGTACATGTTGTGTATACAGAGGCAGAGCAGTCATTTATGTCTGTGGCCAGGATCAAAACAGCAGGTAGTGGGGGAATCCTGCTTTGTGCTAACTGCACATGGGGCTTGTTGAATCTCCAAAGCCCAAGCAAACAGAGGATTCAGTGTGTGAGATTAAAGGATATAAACTGCCGTGAAGCTGGGAGGAAACGCAGTAACATGATTATTTCTTCTCTCTGGAGGCCATGGGTCGCTGAAAACTCCCCTATAATCTCTCTGTGTCTCTCTCACTGCTTCAGATCTGGACTAAATCAAATTTTCACTTTTATTCCATAAAAGTAATATTTTTGGTAATTGAAGGTAATTGTGTCATATTTCTGTTTCTCAATTTCCAAACTACAGAAGAGGGGACTGCCATGAAGTGCTGCTACCGAAGCGATAAAATTAGAAACTGCTCTGAGAAAGGAAAAGGTATATTACCTGGTTTTGCTTCCCAGCTATCTTGTAGTCCAAGATATGAAGTACTGAAGAAAAGGTTTGGGATTTCCCAATCACACTGTGAGCAGAGAAGTCTGTGTCATGACGTACCTCTCTCTCAAAGTCATTTAACGTAGACAGACCTTGCAGAAATTATTTCTTCAGCTTTTGGAGATAAGTCGTTAACCAGAGGTAATGGCAGGTGCTATCAGTATGTGGGAGTGAGGTGTGACTATAGGACAATAGGACAGATGACCTCGGGAAGGGTCTTAGGCATAGAAGACTGGAAGGTTGTTTCTACCCTGTCTTTCAGGGCAGCTGCCACTACAGCAACAGATAACAGGCAGTGGATCTCCAAGAGCTGTGCACACAGCTCTTGTGAAGTAAAAACTCTCAGAGAACTTTTGCAGGACTGTTGATGCGACTTGAAAAATATAGTTTGTGTCTCTAAAAATGCTAGGGATTAATGAAAATCCTATCCTTTTTTTCCTGTGCTGCAAACTGTAGGTAAAATACCATAAGCTTTAAGCCTTCAAGCGCTCTCAGCATCCCTTCTTGAATAAATTGCTGGCTTTCAGGATTTTACTGCCTCAGTTTCTCCTCCCTCAGTGCTGGGAGAAAGCCATATGTGTAAATCTCCCCGGCTTTAGAGGCAGAACCAGTATAGCTCTTTATGTACAAAAGGTCGCAGTGCAACATGCTTTTCATGTGCTGCAGTGATTACTAACCTCATCAAGCTCCCTTGGTGCATGCCTGTTATGAAAGGGCTGGAGCAAGCTGTCATTTCATGGTGGGAGGTGGTATTGTTTCCATGCCACCACTTTACAAAGGAGACAAAGGGAAGCACTTAAAATGGAATGGACCCATTTCAAAAAGAAGGGCAGTGACCTTAGGCTTCTTCTATTTAATTGAACAGGGAAATATCACACCTACTTCTCACAATAGTGGTGTCAGGCAAGTGATAGTAATTCCCAGTCTAGTGCTTACAAGGGAAAGCACCTCTCAGGAGCTTGAAGCTTAACAGGTTCACACCTGTACTGTACCTACAGCCTGGGACTGCCCAGCTGCTGGCACTTTGATTCTGAAAATCTTAGCATTAGTTTTGAAGTCCAGCACCTGCCAGGTACACTGAGCAGGACCTCAGACCTATCTAGCTCTATTGTTTTCCAACAAAGCTGAAAATACCCGTTCTGCTGACAGCCAAAGCTCTCTAAACAGGTAATGCTCTTTGCCTTAGCAAAAACAGCTACCTCACGACTTGTGTGCGTGTGCTTGAGCACAGGGACCCATGGGACCTGCAGGGATGTATTCTGGGAAGGAATTGTTTGACCAGCTTTTCAGCTCTCTTGCCGTTTGCGAAACACAAATGCTGTACCAAATCCCTCCTATTCCAAAACATGCACTGAGGTGATCACTGTGAACATGTTTGTGGGCAATGGAAGGCAGGCAGTGGGGAGGGTGACATCAGAAATGGTGTCCCCTACTAGAGAGTAGCAACTAAGTTCAGCTGAGTCTCTTGCAGGCCCAAAAGCCACCTAACAGACCTGGGTAAAGCAGTGACTTGGCAAGCTGGCGATTGTGTCTCACACATATATCAGCTGTAACCCTTAGGCTACAACTTATTTCATGGTCCAAGAAATGAGATTATCCCTATGGATCAGCAATATTTTCGGAGAAGCCTGAGACTCTCAGCCTAACTCCTGGGAAGGTTTATATAAGCTGGCAATGCTCTGGCAGTCTCCAGAGTTAGCCCCACTATGGCATTTAGCAAATCTGCTTAATATCCCTGCAGATACCTTGCATCATGTCAGGGGAAAGGTTAACTGCTGCTGAAATCCAACATATACCTTTAGGTTTATTTCACTTATTAAAATAGACTGAAGACAGGTTTTTGCTTTGTATTTGTTCTTGTGTAGGCCTTTATTTTCATGCTGTGAACAGATAAATGTGACGGATAGGTATCTAGACGGGCTCCCATGCCAATACTTCTTAAGCCCTAATGTCATTTGGTAGTAATGCTTTTTGGTAACATTTTGCACTGCCTTGGAAGAAAATAAGATAAAATAGAAAATATGATTCTAATCCTGGCTGTTGAGCTTTTTGACAGTCTTTATGATCTACAGGTAAGTCATTTCTTGTGCCTTGGAAAAAATTAAATTCAGAACAGGAAACTTGGGGCTAGAACTACTACTGGCTTTTAAAGAGCCAACTAAGGCTATTAAAAAAAAAATCAAAAAGACCCCAAACAAAAATTCAAACAAGCACCACCCCTTCCCTCATGAAGGAGATCCGTGTTCCACTGAGAAAAAAATCTATCTGGTTTTAGTTGGAGTGGAGAAGTCTTGCAGTCCTTATGTTGCTGCTTATGTGATTTCCAAGTATTTTGTGTTCATCATCTCTCTGTACCAGTGAGTACCATAAGATAACAACAAAAAGCATCAGTGCTTGAAGCCTTAGGTTACAACATGGTGAGGTAGTAATTTAATAGTAAAGAGATGGAAACTGAATTCAAAGGTTTTGATTATCCAGCAATGCAGCAGGAAAATGGATGGAGACTGGTCGTTCAAGACAAGCAGCAGCCCTGAGTGCTAATCCCTTCTGCTTCTAGGAGTGGCTTGGGATAGTTTACTTCATTTCCCTGCCACAGCTTCCCAGACTTTTAGTGAAGAGTGAATGTTTTGAACAGAGAAAAAGCCAAGGATTAGTTTTTGTTGCATGCAATTCCAGCAGTTCTGGACTGGCAGTCTCTGGAGCTAGTAGCTTCATGAACCCTTTTTGTCTGTCTGAAGAGGGTCTGATTCAGATGGAGTTAATTTTCTTCATACAGCCTGTAATGTCCTGTGTGACCAAAACGGTGTTGATAACATACCACAATGTTTTAGTTATTGCTGTGCCTGCCCACTGTCAAGGCCTTCATCTCTCACCCTGCTAGGTAGCAAGTAGGCTAGAGTTGGGGAAGAGGGTTGAGAGGCAACACAGCTGGGACAGCTGACCCAAACTGACCAAAGACACATATCACACCCAATAATGTCACACTCAGCAATAAAACTGGGGGGAATTTTGCTTCAGGAGGTGTTGCTTAATGACCTGGCTGGGCATCAGTCTGCAAGTGGTGAGTGATTGCCTTTGCATCACTTGGTTGCTTTTGTTTTCTTTCATTTTCCTTCACTTATTAGACTGTCTTTATCTTTACCCACAAGTTTTTCTCGTTTTTGCCCTTCTGATTCTTTTTCCCATCCCATTTGGCAGGGAATGAAGGAGTGTCTGGGTGGGGGCTTAGCTGCCAGACGAGATCAACCCACCACACTGCCCTAAGCAAACCAAGGTCTGTAGTTTATCAGGATTCAAGGCTCAGGCTCTGATCACAACTGTGCAATAGGATCTGTGCTGCTCAAATTTCATATCTTAAAAGCTTTATTGAAGAGCTATGGGCTAGGATTGTTGGTAGAAGTGGTAAAGGAAGGAAAGTCAAGCAGATTGCACACAAGCAGCAGAAGAAACTGTAGCTCATTGATATGCTGGCTTAATTAATTTTGAATGATCAGTCCAGCTCCAGTTTTAATATGCAGCTGCTTTAGATGGCCGAAGAGTTTAAGGAAGCCTGGTATGAGTGTCCAGCTTATGTTGAGACTTAAGTGGAATTTTCCCAGATTTATGGATGTTTTCCAAATGTCCACTGTCCTATTACTTGCTGGAAGTGCCTTCAGAACCCCGTAAGAATAAAAACCTGTTGAAAGCTACCACCTCTCCAACTGAGTCTAATTAAGTTTCAAGTTGAGCTGCATTTTAGCTTAGAGCTGATGAAAAGCAACATGTAAATTTGCAGGTAAGAATGCTGCTTTTGTGGTGTAGGGGGCTGTTTTGTTTTCTCTGGTATTACTTGGGCTCTGAAGAAATCCAGGCTGGTTGAGTGTAATGTACAAAAGAAAACATGATTGAGTTTCAAGACTGAGTTTTGCATAAGCACTCATCTAGTAATTATCTGTCAACTGTCCATATCAATGAGTAATGTCTGTCATTTTCCTATGATGTATATGAAAGAAGTGTCCTGACAAGATATTGCTACTGCACAGGGTTAAATTCAGTTGTAAAATCAACCAACCAAGCAACCAACCAATCAGCCAAGGAGGAAAAAAAGGAGAAGGAATGTTCATAGCTCGCATGTAACCTGATACATGCAATAAAAGAAAGGTATTGCAAAATTAGAACTGTTCCCAGGCTGAAAGGTTCGGGTTTATAACAGCACCAGAGCACAATCTGCCAAACCCTCAGTTTTCTTACTAAGACCATGTGCCTCTGCAGTCCTCCTGTGGTCCTTCAGAGAAGCCGTACTTCTGTCAAGTATTAAACATGCACTACATGGTCCCAACTAGCTCTGGCTGGGGCCTAGTGATCCATGTGTCTGTTTGTGTGCGTGTCTGCAGCAGACAGTGCCTCCTTCTCTCAGCTTCTGAGAAGTTGTCTGAGTTTATTCTAATGGAGATCAGCATCCTGGTGCTGTCATGGTGTTCTTGCATTTGAAATGTTTTCAGAGGAATCAGTGTTAGAAACATTCTGAACAGTTTTCATGTATTCTGCTCCTGCTGACAATTCCTGGATCACCCCCACGTACATCCAGCCTATGTTCTCTTACAGGGATGATTGTTTTCTCTAAATGCACAATCAGACCCAAAGTATACATGTAGTCACAACCAGATCCAAGGGTGTTACTAACAGTAGCTCTGACCCTCTTGGCCTAAGCCAACACAATTTAGATAGTGATTACAAATTTGACTGGACTTTAGCTGCCTGAGGCCACTGACAACAAGGACATACAGCACCGATATCTCATGAGAAGCGAAAGAGCATGTGGTGTTGGGAGAGAATGCTCCAAATCCTCATCCCGAGGCTGCTTTCACCTCCTTACTAATCCTTGGGAAGTTGACCTGGGGAGAGTTGTGCACAAGGTAAGGTGAACAAGAGTTTTCCTGGAGATTTGGCAGTTGTGGGAAGCACAGGCAGGTAGTCGGACTGACACCTGAACTGATGGAAGGCAAGGTGGGTGGGTTCACAAGATGCACAATATGTTGAGGAGGTGTGAGGCTGCTGCAGCAGATCAGGTGAGACTGCAGAGTAAGCCAAGGGCATTACATATCATCTGAGCATGAAAACACCTACTCCCAGGAGTGCAGAGAGCCTGGGTGGATCTCAGATCAGCACCCTACACTTTGAGGGGTTTTTATTTTGACTGATAAATGATCCAGTGCTTGAAATGGCTGCCCCACAATGCTGTAGGGGTTAAAAGAAATTTGCTTATCTGGTCACAACATACTGTCGCTTCTGTTAATGAAACTGTTGTTAGAGTGGCAATGGCTTATTCAGTGCCTTGGATGTGAAACCTTGATTTGGACACGGCACATATGTTGATAACAGGCATTACTTGTCCTGTCTTTGCAGCTTTGCATTGCCAAACACTTGGTATGTTTGCAATGGATCCTTGGCTTGAAAGATCACAGCCACTGCATTTTGAAATTGATTTTCTTCTACAGAGGGATGTTTGAAGCAAAAACCAATTTGGTTTGTATAAACTACATTAGAGATAAGAAGATACCCCTCAGAGTGCTCAGGATCACCTTTGAAGCCATTTTCACCCTACCACGAATAACAAGTTGCACAATAAAAAGTATTTCTTACAGCTGATCTGATCTCTACCCATCCGTGAATTAGCTCTGAAATGAGATAAACCTATCTACTGTAATTCAGGACAGGTGTATCATACTTCCCAATCATATTACAGAGATTCGTTAGGCCTGGTGGTGTAACCCTGGGCACATAACTGGGGCAAGTATGGCAGCTTTATCTGCTTTAAGGGACTTGCCTTCTAAGTAAGATGCTGCTCCCGCCGCCTTCAGCTGGTGTGTGAGATTCTACCTGCACTGCTAGTCAGTAAGTGGTACCTGTGGAGGGTCACACATGTGGCTTGCTTTTCTCTTTGGATAGATTCCGTATTGGGTCTGGCTGAGATGGAGTTCATTTTCCCATAGCAGCCCTCACAGTGCTGTGCTGTGCATTGGTGGCTAGAAAGGTGTTGATAATGCAACAGTGTTTTGGCTGCTGCTAAGCAGTGCAGGCACAGCATCAGCACTATTTCTCCAACATTCTACCCCCCCATCAGTAGGCTGGGAGTGGGTAAGATCCTGGATAGGGAACACAACCAGGCCAGCTGACCTGAACTAGATATTCCATACCATATGACATCAGCTCAGATATACAAGCTAGGAAAAAGAGGAGGAGGCATTCATTATTTACAGTGTTTGCCTTCAGAGCAACCACTACAGTTGCTGAAGCCCTGCTTCCCTGGAAGTGGCCAGGCATGGCTTGATGATGGGAAGTAGAGATTAAACCTATTTCTTTTCTCTTTGCTTGTGCACATGCAAACTTTTGCTTTTGCCTTAGTAACCTGCTTTAACCTACAAGTTGTTTTCCATCTTATTTTTCTCTCCCCTGTCCAACTGGGAAGGGGAAGTGATAGAATGGCTTGGTGGCTACCTCGTATCCAGCCAAGGTCCACCCACCACCGTCTTGTATTCTCTCTCTTCCTTTGTCTGATTCTGACCTTCCAGTCTGGTCCTCAGCTGGTGCCAGTTTGTTTAGGTAGTGTGGCAGCCAACCTACAGAAAGACCAAAACAGAAAGTATAATTTAAAATGAAAAGCAGGGAGGGGAAAAAAACCCCAAAACAACAACCACAACAAAACCACCACCTTTCCCTTCCTCCCTTCTTCCCATCTCTTGTTTTTTTGTAATAGGCTTTCCTGATGTGTACTAGGATCTAATCTGTAGGATATCGAAGAGGTATCAGGGCTTGAGATACTACTGTGGTATTGAAGGTATAGGTGCATTTGCAGTCCAACTCCGGGCTGGAGTCATCCCCTCTCTTTCCTAAGTACAAGGTTGTCAGCTCCAGTTATTGTAAGACTGGGTATGGTTTGTGGGTCCTGCATTATTGTTTTCCCTTGGCAGGAGTGTCAGGTTGGCTCAAGAACACTGATAAGTTTCCCCAAACAGGAGCAGATGGACTCCTAGCAATAGATGCCAAGTCATGTTGTCCATGAGACAACAGGGAAAAAGACCCTAATGAACCAGGCCTGGGGCAGGCACTGGTTGTTCTGCTGGGAACGGTGACATTCACAGCTGAGCATGTTGCCTTTGATACCAGAAAGCAAATCTTCTGTTGTTTTGACTGTATGCAATTGTGGAAATGAAAGGCGCCATATTCATGTATCATGATAATTAATGGTAGTTGTCAAAAGGTGCAGAAGAACACAAGCATCCAGAAGGGAAAGAAAAAAATCATGGTGCCTCCACTGGATTTTGTAAGAAGTATCAGGATTGGGGGAGGAAAAAGAGCTTTATCTGACCTCAACTTTTTGTGGCAAATAATAATGGTAGCAGCCATGGGTGGGTGGATGGGCATGAAGTGACCGGGTGTTACCCAGTCTGTGATTTAAAAGGTCAGCGCTGAGCTGCTTTAATGTGAGGCAAAGGGGAGTTACGAGCTTTGCTTTCCACGTCGTATGTCCTGTGTGCTCAAGTGTGCAGGGCTGTGCTGGGGCCTGGGGAACCCTATCTCCGCAGGCTGTGGAGGCTCCATCAGTGCTGGTTGGTGGAAGGTCCCTGGTGGTGTGCTGTGCATGCCCTGGTATGACATACCTGCTCCTGGGGGGGACCGATGCCAGGCTCAGCACAGCCAGCAGGAGCCCATTTACCTTTGGCAGGACCCCGATGGAGCAGGAAGCCAGGTCTGTTCAGGCAGTCTCAAGTTGTTTCTTGGAGGCTGCTCTTTCGAGGGCACTTGGCTGCCTGGTGCATCCTGCAGTCTACTTGTCAGCATATTATCAGCTAATTTAAAATTACTCAAACAAGCCCTTATCAGTGCATGAGACCAAAGGGTGTTAGTGGGCATGATGACAAGGAAGGTTTTATGAACCACTTCATAAAGCCAAATCCTCAGGAACTATTGAGGCTGTAATTAGATTTGAGGATAATAAGATTTTTTTTTCCTCCTCTTTTTTTTCCCCTCTTTTTTTCTTTCTGGTAGCAAATCAAGGAAAAAATTGAAGCACTCGGTTAATTCTTGTGTATTCGGAGTGTGGCTCCAGGCTCTTTACTAACACAAAGGGATTACAACTTGATATCAAGTACCCTGGGAGAAGTGTGAGCATGAAAGTAGAGTGGTGTTTTGCTGTAGACTATGTGGATCCCTTATGTACGTGCCTTGAAAAGGCCTCCCAAGGCTTAGGAGCAATTAATAATGAAATCAACTAATAACAAGATCTGCAATGCAAAGAGAAAACTAGCCAGCATTTTGTTATAGGGAGAAAATGAGCAAACCAGCAGGGGACATACTGATCGTGTCTGATTCATGTCATCTCTATAATCCCAGCTAAAGTTTTAACAGCCCAGGAAGATGAATTACCCACTCTAACCAACACAGGGATCAGCATGGGGTTTATTAGAAGCAGGCTATCATTTAACAATGTCAGGAGTGTATTTATTATTAAGCAGTAGACTCCACAGTCTAAATGGAAAACGATCACTCCTCCTTAGACAGCGAACAAGGTATGTTCATAAAGCCAAATGGCCAATATAGTGTGTGCTTGCACGAACACAAATACTAGGTCCACTTTACTGGACCTCAGGGCTTTCTAAGTCAAGCTAGACACTAATAAACCAAAATGTTTGAAGCTACTGGAGGACAAAGCTGTACACCATATGCTAATTCTGACTCTCAAAACTCCCTGGTGACTTCACTCCAGTGACTTGGTAAGAAACTAGAGAAAGGATTCTAGGTTCAGCATAGAGGGGTTGGTTCAAAGCAAGTGCTTGTGGACCATGGTACAAAAAACAAGCAAGAAAACTCTGCACAAGCAACTAGATTTTTTATGCACTGTGTAGTTTCAGCCTAGGCATTGCTGAGTCCTTCCTTTTTCCTTGAGGCCAATGCCCTTGTCCATAGGAAGAATCAATCAGTAAAATGTAGGGTAATACACAGCAAACATTTTGGGTTTATTTATCACCACATTAAGGTACCCAATATGGAAGCATAAATAATATAGTTCAAGTAAACTACCACTTATATAGTAGTAATATTTTAAGCTGGATTTGTGGGAAAGACTTGTGACTGGCCACATTTTCAGTCCAGCTTCACAAATCCAAAGTGTTTCTGGACCAACAAATGCTCTCAACCTGTAGCGTGGCCAAACAACTCTTACTATTTCGCAGTTCTGCTGTTGCTGCACAACCAAATAGCAATCCCAGCAATAATCTTTGGTCCAGAAGTGGGAAAGAGTTACTGGGCGCAACCATCTGACTGATGTGACTCTC